CCTCATGTGTGTCTGTGCAGCCTGTAGTTGGAATGATGCTGCCTTGTCTAGATTGGTGTAGGTGAAGGAGACCACCTCCTTTATATTTCTCTGGTTGATGGTGATTGGTGTTTGTTGTTGTTGTTGGTTGGTTTCTGTATCTTCTTCACCTCTGTCTTCTCCACGTTCACCTGAAGGAAGTCTCATCTTCGTTGTTTCACCTCTTCTGTCAGCCTGTTGGTTTGTGCGACATTAGACATCAGTCATCATGGTCGGTGAAGTCCAAGTCTTATTCTGGAGTCTTTTCCTCGGTCCAACCAGCGAATGCCCATCTTCTCACTCCTCATGGTTTGCTGAATGATTCAGTCCAGTCCACCACAATCAGAAAGATCATCGGTGATGTTAGGCGGCAACGTCGTCTTACTCCTACCTGTTTTCACTTCACAGGCGTCACTGAGATTTCCATTGTGAATCACTTCACTTGCGGCGTCTTCACATAGCATATGGCTGCATTGAATGTTGTTGATAAAGTTTTGTGGCACTAAGACTGTAGTGTTGAAGCAACTGCCTGCCAAATTACTTGTCGGTCGACACTGTTGAAGGCGTTTTCAAAGTCGATGAAGTTGATGTAAAGATTCTGTTGACTGACATTCTATACTCTGTTCTATGATGATGCGTAGTGTAGCGTTTCAATTTGATCCACACATGATTTGTTGTTCTTGAAGCCACCCTGAGATAATCTTTTTCATAAAAATTCTGTGAACATCGTCATAATTATAGTTGTTGGTAATATGGGGAAATGTGAACTACCTACTTAAAAATTGGGCTTTCAACCTGTTTGAAAGTGCTGAACACATAAGTCGAATGGCATATGTCAATAGACGTCACACAGCTGATTTTTAGTTGACAACTTAGTACATAAACCTGACTGTATTGCTCGATTACACGACTCCTGTTCGTATTATTACTACTATTATTACTTATACTATAATAACTATTATTGTAGAGGGTACTGTGCTAGTGTTTATCAAAATTAGTCCAATAATCAATCAACATACAGGGATAACTCATAAGTCAGTATGTTCTTAGAGGAGTAACTATCATGGATTGATATCAGTTGCACCAGTTGGACAGCTGAAATGTATCAAACTAGGACGAATTGGAAGTCCAATTCTCTAAGGTTTTCAATATTCCTTCGACTGATTTCAATCAGTCATGTGTACTACCTTGAGATAAATCACTCCTAAAAAATACCTTATTGAATTGCAAACTAATGTGTTGCCTTACTTTAATGGCTTATGTCAACCCAAGTGTTTATTGTCCAATTATTGCACTGAAAGTTTTTCAGTCATATTTTAAACGAAGTGGCTTATTCTTAGATTTTAGACAGCAAGAACATTTCATTGTCAAAGTATTTCCATTACCACTTGTCAGAATAGTAGATAATTAGCCTACTAAGTTATCTATCTACTCCTTTAAAGCTGATCTTATTGAGTAGGCATAAACGAGTGGTCGGAAGTGATTTACGCTTTCATAGTTCAAGTTTAGACATCTACACACTAGACGTCCTCAGCTCAGACATAAATAGCTAAATGTGTTCCTTATACTCACTTAAAATAATCGTCTAGTGTTTACCATTATATTATATTATTATTTGTCCCTTGGGTTCCTAGTGGAACATACGGCTTCAGTAGCACGTCTCCAGTGCACTCTATTCTCTGAAATCTTTTGAACCTGGCTCCACGACTGCCTACAACCTCTCATTTCTTTCTCACATGATCTCCTCTATGTCACCCTCGGACATTCAACCCGTCGTTTCCCCATTTGGGTTCCACTTGAGGAACTGGCCTGACGCGTGATGTCCCAGTCGGCCTTCTCAGTGTATGCCCAATCCATCTCCACTTACTTCTGCATATTTGTTGGGCGATAGGATCTTGGTTGGTTCTTTGCCCAGCCAGAGTTCCTTGTTGCTTATTCTTTTTATACTAGCCATCTGAGCTTCAGTATCGAGCCAGTGTAGGCAGTTGTTGATGAATGTCTGCAGTTTGTTGGAAATCCCTTTCGTAACGCTGCAAGTCTCCGAACCATACAGCAGCACAGACTGGACATTGGTGATGAAAATCCGGGTGTTGTTCACGCTTTATGCTGAGTGCGGAAGATCTCCACACTGGTTTCAGGTTAATGAACTCCTGTCTTGCTGTCTTTCCGATCTTGGCTGGCTCTGACGTCCTCGTCTGTGCCGCCTGTAGTTGGAACAGTGCTTTCTAGACAGGTGGGTGAAAAAGGCTACTTTTTTTTAGGTTTCTCCCGTTGATGGTGATTGGTGTTTGTTGTTGTTGTTGTTGGTTGGGTATCTTCATCACCTCTGTCTTCTGTATACTCACTTGAAGTCCAGTTTTCGCTGCCTCTTCTGTCAACTTGTTAGTTTTCGCCTGTAGATCTTTGAGTTTGTGCGACAAGAACTTAGATATAGATCATCACCGTTGGCGAAATCCAAATCTTCTGGGATCTTTTCCCAGGTCCAGCCAGCGTATCACCTTCTTATCGCTCCTCACGGTCTGTTGCATGATCCAGTCAACCACAATCAGGAAGATCATGGTTGGTAGTAGATAGCCTTGTTTTACTCCTGTGTTCACTTCAAAGGCACCACTGAGCTTTCCATTGTGAATTACCTGGCATGTCGCGTCTTCATATAGTTTGCGATTACTGCGTATAAATAAATGAACACCGTTTTATTCGTCCTTTCTATCAGTACTTACAAGTAAGATAACGTATTTATCTGATTAATACTCCCACACAACTCATTTGATAAGACTGACTATGTGTTTCACCGAACAAAACAACCAGATACCTGAACGTTTCCTTATTCAATGTTTCGAAACCGACCTTCCTTTTCTTAACACCTGGTCGTTATTTGACTGGTTAATTTTTACAATATTTCGTCATCTTAAAGTGAACAGATAAATAGACAATGCCACCATAAGAATTGGCATTACTGGGTCACGGTCCAAGTTGGCACACGTCAAATCAACACATCAGGCTGTAGAATTCACCAGGATGAAAGATGAATAAGTGGAGAAAAAGTTGGTCATAGTGGTAGAAAGTCTTGGAAAAAAACAGGTTTTGGATGACACAATAATAAAATACATTATGACGAATAAGATGAAAATAATGTCTATGCGTCTGCGCCAATAAGATTGACTCTGAGTCATACCATCTAGGGTCTCCAACCACTGGTTTCTGTAGTTGCACAGACTCTAAACAGCAAGTCCATATTTTCCTACTACAAGTGAACTGATTGGTTTGAACTAAGATTGTGATATGTGAAAGTTACTAAGAACATAGACCAATAGTCATAGCTGTATATGAACTCGAACAGACGCCTAACATATCCCCAATCACTCCTTGTAGAAAATTCTAGTTATGTTTAATTTCTGCATATATGGTAACTGTTTATCTAAATTATGTCTAAATGGAGAGTACAGAACCATCCACTTCCTTTCATATATCCCTAAATTCTTGGTTTATACACCAAGAATCTGCCCTGAACCTTATGGCTATTCAGTGACACACACATATGAAAAGGGGTATACAGAACAAAACAAGGCGTCGTAAAAATGTACCACGATTCAAGCTGTCAAACTTCATAACAGTTGATTAGATAATTTCAAACAGCGATAATCTGACCGGTTTTTCTTGTGTAAACAATCCAGAAAAAAACCTGGACCACTCAAGATTGAAATCATGAACCACCTCAAAACTAACATAGCATCCCATTGAACCAGATGTGAGATCAAGTTGAAGACTAGTTTTCAGTTTAATCTGAATAAAACAGTTTATCCGCATATCACGTGAATGAAAGATACGCAGCTTTTCATTATTCAACTTATTAAGCAAGACACTACAAAATATGAACACATCTAAACCATTGTGTTCAACTTCTAGTCATGTTAGCTGTTATCTTCAAACACTGATTCCTAACAGCACAATAACCACAATCGAGCAGTCTACACATCTTTAAGCAGCTTTGAATAACAGTTTAGAACTCTATGAATTACCTTGTCGTCATGATTTCGGTCAACATCTCCAGCTCTTTCGAATAGACTTCCTCTAAAAACTGATGATCACCATCAATAATGACAGTTTGTTTTATGCTGTCGACAATCAGGTGATTAGTAGATGGCACCGAAACACCTTCACAATTGAACACTCTTCAAGGTCATCTAAAGTTTATCCCAACTGAAATATCATCAAAAGTTACTTTTATTTATTTATTAAAAAGACCAACTTTAATGAAATACACAATTATTGTTAAAATGAAAGCATACCTATTACTTTCATTTGTAAACAAAAATCATCACATTTCATTAGTTGATAGAATAGATGAATTGAAAAAAGACTCTATTGTTTCTTCACCTCAACCTGTTTACTGTCTATAAGGTGTATGATGCATGCATTTATGTATGCAAAAGAAAAGCCACAAAGTGATATCAAATGACAATTAATTCACAAAAAGTAGACAAACAAAACCTTTGATTACTACTTATTGTTAGTCATGTTCCTGATTGATAAATTTCTTGGTTAATCAGATATATTTTATTGATAACTTCACAAGTATTAATAAACTTTTCAAGATATATTCTTCAAACATCTATAGTAGTCTTGATGAAGAGGATGAATGAGATGAATATTTGTTGGGAAAAATTATCATAGAATAAGTCGATCTCATGGTTCAATTAATAGAATATGCAGTCTTGACTGAAAGAGAAGGGTAATATTTTAACTTATTGAGATTACTTACAGTAGATTTACTCTGATTTATTGGTTGACTACATTTTCAATAATTGGATAGCCTATTCTGAAATCTTGGTCAGAGTTCATTTGTGAATTGTGTCTATACCTTCTATGTTGTCCAACTTCATTATGTATATGGAAACATGTTGAACCTCTGTTACACTGACCAGTTCTTTGATATTCTTCACATTTTTTTGTTTTATACAATGGATGTGATTTAGGATCTCTTAACTCCCATGAACCATGTGCAAATTGACAAATTCACCACGTGGACAACATTGATGAGTTGAAAAATCAAGACATAATTCAGTTTTGTATAAAATATTATTTGTATACTTGAGATTTCTTTTGTTAGCAATATGTTTACCTGAATTTGTTGTATTATTCATCACTGATGAAGTCATTATCGGCTTTGAATAGTTTCGATGTCTTAAATTCTGTTGTTGATACTGGTGTAATAGTTGTCGATGGTTTTGAAGAAAATTTGTTGAATAATTACAGTTATAAAACTGCTGATAATTAGATGAATAATTGAAAACTGTTGATGTTGAAGAGAAATCCAATACTTGATGAAACACTCCGGGTGTACTGTTCACAATCTGATTTAAAAAAATTGTGTACATTGGCATCGTTGTCAAAGTGAATATATCTAGATGTAATGGAGTGAAATAAACAAATAGCGAAGATGGATATACTGGGACAGATGATGAAACTGTAGAAGTAATTGTATAGTCAAGTATTGGATAAGAATTCAATGCAATTCCATTCACTAGTTGGATAGAGCTTGAAGAAGTATGGTTTATATTCAAGGTGGGAGGAATATTTTCCATCAGCTATTGAAGAATAATATTTCACCAATTTATAATCTCAGAATTTTGCTTCCACTGTTGTATATCGTCAATAAATTTCAGGATTTACTATGACTTCAGGCATTGCATAACGCTGCAGCAAATGGATCGGATTATAAGTATGTTTGCGGAGCACACACAAATCACTGACTGGTTAACAGTTTGGTCTTATACTAATCATTCATCCAATCCATAAAAATACTTGAGTTACTTTTCGTTCTATTTATCTATGTAACCTAAAATTACATTCTGATGATAATGTGAACATATACAAACAGGCTAAACAACGAATAGTGTTCATTAATGTTCTGTGAAGAAGAAGAGGCATGCACATACACACACACAACCATATGACAAGGTTTATTACAAATGAATTCAAATCTAAAGTGAGTTGTATTCAGGGCATCATTTATCAACGATTGGGGGAAAACTGTCTGAGTTGTAGTCTGTTTATAGTCTAGAGAAGATATTAAACTGATTGGGTTGATTCATACTGCGCAAAAAGAAAAACAATCATATGAATAAATTTAATTATATATTGATTGATCACTAGGAAAGAACCAGTATCATGTTATTTAATGTTATTGCTTGTATTACACCGTCGTTGATTGAGCCAAATTGATCAGTCTCTTTTGGCATATGGGCTCCTGTGTGGATACTTCGATATTGTCTATCTTTTAACCACGTATAATAATGATGGGCAGTGGCTAGCAGTGGAATCCAGGATGCGCATTTCGTCCGCTTTGGGACTAGTAAATTGGATGTACCTGCCTCCAGGTGACTGATGTTTTTTCCACCGGGACATGGACTCAGGTGAGATCGCTTCAAACACTACAGCGTTATCCACTACACCACCGAGCCACGACAGCCACTTCTTGTGTGACGGGTATAGGTTTAGTGTTATTGCTAGTGACCGCTCCCAAGTCCGAGTCCCGGTGGGAACAACATCACTCACTGGGAGGCAGGTACATCAGCTGACGAGTCCCAAAGAGGAAGAGATGTGCATCATGGATTCCACTGCTAACCACTGCTCATGTTATTTAAGCCTAATTGCAATGTTGTCATCAAGCCAGAATATCTAACCTCTTGGTGTACTTTGATTGATTTTCGACAATTGGAAGCAATCAGATATCCAAACTCATTCACTGTTACATTCAGAGACGTCATCATTTCATATCGATCAAAATGAACCTTAACGATGAGTATCCAAACTCGGTAACAACGCTGAAAAATAATCTATAAAATCCGGGCAGTACTTATGACTAGACAAAATGAAACTGAGTATTTTCCAGTGATCAGTCAATTTACGTCATTCAGTTCCATAGATGATCGTCGACTACAGCCAGGATAGCCTGCTGACTGGAGCACTTGACAGCACGAATCTAAATATGTGACTGAACCGGTCTCCTGGGGGTAGTAAATGCACCTTACTGATGAGTGACAGTAAGAACAAAACCAAAGTCGAACAGGATTTCCTACCCATTACATCCGATTACTCAACATTTAAGTCGATTACCTGCATAAAAATGGCGAAGAACTTCAGTAGACGTGACGAACTGATTGAATAATTTATGTGATAAACTGGAGTCTAGATGTTTCAAGAAAGTTTGGAATGACATTCTTATGCGATAATTCAAATTGACGACAGGCTAGGTAGTCTTGAGGGTGCAGTTTGACCTCAGATACTAATCTCATCTATCCAATGTCTGTAACTGAAGTGATATATGCCAATATATCAGTCACGAAATCGTGAGTGGGATTTTGAATTCTTATGCTCAGAGGTGTTTATTCCAGATTCAGCAGGATGACGTAGATTCCCTTTGATTTGTATACTTATCTAGCCGGTAAATGATATAACTTCTGAAATATACAGCTTGTTTGTTTGTTATCCTAACTTCTTTCAGTCAACTGTCTTCATGAAGGTATTGGATATGTTTACAACCGTAAAAACATCTCGGTTGTGCGGCAATGAACTGCTCTCAAGTTCTTAATACTTATCGAAGTTGATCGACCAAGATCATAATATGGTCACTGCAGTACACTTGTGACAATACTCTGTCATTTGTTATGTTTCCGTGTTAGGCATCCACAGACACTGACTGTTTGACTGCAAGATTCCATATTTCTCAGCACTCCAACTAACAAGGTGCGTTTAATGCTGTGAAGAAATTCATGTTCTCCAACATGGCTTCTCATCAACACTGTAAACTAATGATGATCGACAAAGGTCACTAAGCAAACCGTTGGCTAACTGAATAAGTCGTAAAATATATTTGATCTCTACCAACGAGTGAATTCAAAGACTATCCTAGCAACTGATAAGACAGCCATTTACATTCCTTTATTTCATGGAAAAGTCCTTTTCCAGGCGAAATACCGAAGCCTGGTTGGTCATTTCAACAGTTGCTAGGGTGGCTTTTAAAGTCACCCCCTGTCAACTACCTTCATACTACTACGGGTGGAGGTAGCAAGGAATCCTCTGCCTATTGCAGAATGAGGTATTACATATATTTTCCTTCTCTGGCAAGAAATCTCTCTTCAGTTGATACAACTTATTGAATCCCAAGCAATGAATCAGAAATTTAGAAACATTCCTGTTTCATATACTAAAATTATAGTGGTCAGGTGATACCATGAGTTATTGAAGCCACTATGCAGTAGTAAACAACATATCGCACAATTGAGTATAATTTTAATCATGGTTAATTACATCTAGTGTATGAAACTTGAAAGCATTAGTGTCTCTTTCCTACTGATACTAATAATGATGATGAATTTCATCTTTTATATCTAGTCAAGTTTTTCAGTTCAAATTGTTGGAAAAAGCTTGCCGCTATATACCCTAAATTTTGCATTCCGCGAAGCACTACCCTTCTTGTGGTGTCCGAAACGCTTTTGTCGGGCGTTGAAAATCCGAGCCAGGCAGTATAATTTTTGTGGCAGACCATACCCATATTCTCAGCAAGTCTCCAAAGTGAACAACCTATGGCAGTTGAAAAATGTGGGTAAGGGAGGTAGAAAAATTAGATGCATAACTTCAGGAGAAAGATTGGCTCTTAGGACCAAGTCAAGCGGGTCAAGATCAGATACTTGTCGGCCCGGTTGGGGGCTGGTTTCTTTACTACTTTGAGTGCTTCGGTACACTTTGTTGCAAAGTTACTGAACTCTGGTCAGGGTCGATCGTGGGCGGTTTCAGCTGTTAGTGTCGCATCGCTAGCAACGCGCGTGGACTTGCTCTGAGTTACATCAAGCGGCCGTACTTCTTTTGTCTGGAGCATGATGGCTAGCTCAGAACCGGTATGGACCAGGGAAATCCGACTACCTAGTTAAAACAAAGCATTGCTATATCCACTGACCGGTTTTGATGTAATGTGATTTATGCCCAGTGCTCTACAGCCTCCTGTAGCGAAAAGGAGTCGGGTTAATATTCCCGACCCTTTCCAAGGAGATTGGTGCATGCTGAACCTTTGGTTCAGTGTGTACCGAGCGCAGTAACGCAACCAAACCCAGAGACTTCAGCGGGACTTCCGGGAAGAGTTTTCTTCTTTGTCAGGAATGCATCCACCTCCTGGAATCGGCTTGTCTGAAGAAAGAAGACTGGTCTCCGTACTTAATGAATATTAAAAACATATGCTAGCAAGTGTGAGAAGAACAGTTGAATTGAGTTCCAGTGTACTACAGTTGTCTGATTTGCTAACATTAAAAGTTTCATTTAACTTCTGGTACACTGTTTGAAGCAATTCTTGGAAGCATTTCAGTGTTTGCTCATATCTTACATATCACAAGCACTAGAGTATCGTTGAAACATTCACTTTCAATGCTCCATATTCCTTTAGCTAAATAGAATATGAAACATTACTGAGGGATCCAAGTGGTAATTTCGAAAAGCAGAGGGACTTGAAGAAATCAATCAAAGGACCATAAACAGCTGTGACTGTTAGTTTGAACCGTCTTCGGGTCCTATGAGACTATAAGAATCAGTGGTTGAGGTCTGTTGATGAAATGGCTGAAAATCAGTCACAGTGGTTCAGGTTTATTTCCTCTTTGATGTCTCTTATACCTTGAATGTTTTAACTGACCTTCATTTTTAAGTTTCCTCTCCCCCATACACCTCTGTTTACAGAGAGAAAGAGAGGAGGGTAGAAGTTAAACACTGAATGATGAAGTATTACCAGGGTTTCACCGATCTCTGAACTTGCTTAGATGTAAAAGTTTTCAATTTTTCCTGAAAAATCCTCATTTAATTTCATCTTTTGCTATTTCAACTGTATGGTACACTTTTAATGGTTGGTTTACAGATATCATTTCTGCATAATGTTATGATTTGTATTCAGTTGATCTTACGTGCCAGTAATTTCACTTAAACAGATGTTCAGTTTAGAGGGTTTCTAAGGATTTATTGATTTCAAGATGATATTTATCATGGATCGACATTAACTGGAGGAAAATTGGAAACTTGGGAGCACTGGACAGCTGCTTCATCCTAGTATGAGACTCTTCAGCAGTGTGCACCTATGACCCCGCCAGGGATACACCCTATGACCTTCATTTCACGTGGCCAGGACTTTTCCACTGAGCCACTGGGTCGCGATCAAATGGTCCAAATTTCCAAGTCGTGACTAGTGGGGGAAACACGGTGAACGTGAGAACAAGTACTCAACGATGACACTGGGTGATGGTCTCACTACGTCGTGAACTAACAGAAGTTGGAAATATGAACCATTGTGTTCTGACCCAGTGGCTCAGTGGCAACGTGCTGGTTAAGGAACCTGCAGGTCCTGAATTCGATCTCTGGCGAGATCATGGGCCAGTACTACTGAGGAGTCACATACTAGGACGGAATGGCTGTTCAGTGGTCCCAGGTATCCAATGTTCCTCCAACAGATGTCGATCTACGATGAATACCAACTGGAAATATATCTAAATCCCCACAAACCCCTCAAAATTCGGTTCAAGCTGTGATTTTAATAAAGCATGCACTGGAAACCATCCAGTCAAATTCAGAAACTATGACATCGCACAAAAAAGTGCTGTAAAGTAAAGGAATATGCCACTGGAGAACATCAGTAGTTACAAAGTGAGTTTATCTTTATGGTTGTAATTATCACTGAGTGACTAGCATAGATGACTCACTTATAATTTATTATTTGTCCATTGGGTTCCCAGTGGAAAATATGGCTTCACTAGCACGTCTCAATTCCACTCTATTCTATGCAGCCTTCACAACCTGGCTCAACCACTAACCACAAGCTCCAATTTCTTCTTCACACAATCTCCTCCATGTCACCCTCAGATGGGATGCCCAACTCGTCGTTTCCCATTCGGATTCCATTCAACCACCTGGCCTGACGCCTAATCTCCCCAAACCGTCTTCTCACTCAATGTCCAATCCAATCCAATCCAATCCAATCCATCTCAACTCTCTTCAAATGCATATTAGTAGGGCGATAGCTTCTTGGTTATTTAATTCGTCACCAGGTCAGAGTTCCTTGTTCCTTATGCTCATTATTCTGATCATCTGATCTCCATCTTCACTATCCAGTGAGCGTGGCAGGCAGCTGTTGATGTGGTGTATATCTGAAAATTATTGGAAATGCTTTCCACAACGCGCCAAGTCTCTCAATCATCACATAGAAGCACTGACTTACTTGACTGACATTAGTGTTGAAAATCCCGATCTCCTTCACGCTTTATACTGAGTGCGATGCAATGCAATGCAGTGCAGTACAATACAGTACAGTACAGTGCAATAGATCTCCACACTGATTTCAGGTTGATGAAGGTCTGTCTTGCTGTCTTTCCGATCCTGGCTTGGAAATCCTCATGTGTGTCTGTGCAGCCTGTAGTTGGAATGATGCTGCCTTGTCTAGATTGGTGTAGGTGAAGGAGACCACCTCCTTTATATTTCTCTGGTTGATGGTGATTGGTGCTTGTTGTTGTTGATGATGGTTGGATATCTTTATCATCTGTGTCTTTTCTAAATTCACTTGAATTCCCGTTTTCGCTGCCTCTTCTGCCAGCTTGTTGGTTTTTGCCTGTGGATCTTCGAGCTTGTGCGACACTAGACATACTTCATCATCGTCGAAGTCCAAGTCTTCTAGTGTCTTTTCATTGGTTCAACCAGCGTATACCCATCAATACCCATCATTACATATACGAGAGTGTTTTCCAGAGTGGGTTTATAAGGATGATAAGAAGTATATTAGAAGTTATATCCTTTTACATTTCATCGACTCGAACCTTTTGACTGACTCAGATAATGATTTTCAGTCTGTTTATCGAACTTCCTTAAATACTTTATATTGTCTTCAGTTTTTGAAAGGAGGTGACACCTTGGTCATTCATGAAATAGAAAAACCTGATGTTTGGTTGGTCGATATCTTTTTGTCTTGCTTCCACTCTAAGTGACCTGTACAGTCTCTCATTCAGTTGTTAGAACTGATATAAACCGATTACACCCAGTCATGGTCACTCCAAAAGGTTATTTAACTGGACATGGGCAATTTAGGTAAAAGGATTCCAAAGGTAACGTATGAGCTGATGTTTAGTCGTAAGCTAGAAGGTACCAAACGTTTACTACTCAATGTATTCCACTGGTTTTGTAGCTGGCATCAATAATGATGAAGAGCACCTTGAAATCAATCCAATTGAATCACGTAGTTGTTAAAACATTTCCTAATTCAGGATTAACTTGTATTAAAACAATAGGACTCAGTTGAGAAGTTGGTATATTGACGAATGGAGTAATTAAACAGTATCAGATTCAGTGTATGAATAGATTCAGTCAGTTTGATATTAATGATAGGACTCAGGTTTCACCCCATTTGGAACTCATAAGCAGGATGTTGAACTATTTAGGTCACTGACCGAACTAAAGAATTTATTTATAGGTTTTGATCAAAATGGAGAATTAGACTGACTGGTGAAAATTCCTCTTTCATAACATACCCTTACATATAATTACAAAAGGTAATTTTCACCATCATATTCATAGTACTTTTATCTGGAACAAACTGTTTCTTTCTGAGAACACATTTCTATAAAATTATTTGTTATGCAGTAAAAACCGAAGATTTCCTCTCCGTTTCAATACAAATTTGTGATGTATTCGACAAAATGGGTTAGAAATGGAGGAAAGGAACTTGTTATTAGAGATAGATGACAGTCCATTCATAAGAACTGTGGGTTATGATTTTGATAATCACAGAACTATGAGATATGATGCTCTGGATTTGTTGATTACCAACTAACTTCCAGGGATTATTCAGGACTAACTGGTTCTGTTAATCTATCCGGACAGAAGTAAAGACACAATATTGGCAAATCATTCGTTAATCATTATTCCTCTATTCCATCACTTAAAAACACCAATGACAAGCATCGATTCTGCTGTTCATATCGTACTGCGTAAGTGAACTACTCATACTTATCATATTTCATATCACGTATGGCATTCCAAATACAGTGAGTAATTTTGTAAAAATCATTTAGAGTTGATTTATCAAAATAAAAACAAGTGAAAATATGTTGAATAATTTCAGAATGAAATGTATAAAAAAAAGAAGCTGAAATGAGTCTGCAGACAGTTTACAGTAAACCATTTTCTTTATATTTTTATACTACTGACTATTTTTGATAGTAGTATGATTCTTGTCCTATTATCTGTAAGTAGTTTATGAACTGGTGGTCTCCTCAGTTTCTTCAACCAGGACGTCATCACACTGCTGCTTCCAGAATGCTCGATGCACAAATACCTGCCTTGGAAGCTAAGTAACGAATTGAAAAAAGAGAAATAATTAACGATAGTTTTTAACGAAAAATTATGCAGGAAGTTTAACGTTGCTGACCATTCACTCCATAATGAATATCAGGAAATTGAAAATCAGCGATTGTGGTGTAATTTAATGTTCACAGATAACTAAATCCTGATTGCATCATTGAACTATAGGCTCACAAGAAGTGTCCAGTTGTATTGAAAAATTCGATATACCTAATCCAGTCGTACGGCGAGTGAGTTGCCACCCGAATAGCTCAGTGGTAATGTCTCTAACCGCAACACTTGGTCACGTAGGTTTGAATCTCTAAGGGAACATCAGTTCTATGAAAGTTGCAGATACATTTCGCTGACGAGCCTTGGTAAGCTTCCTTCCGTTTGCTTCCAACTATCGTAACTCACTATTTCTAAATTATAACACTACTTGACTAGAACATAAATTAAGAGCGGGACAGTTAACAATCACTGGAGTATGACGAATGTTGTACCACTTAAGTCTTGGTACTGACTAACCTCTAACGATTGACTTCTTTGTATGAATGGTAGAGTGAATGATTCCATATTCTGTGAGGCTTTGGATAGATGAAAATTTCACATTGTGCCTGATTTTGCTTTTCAGAGGGTCAGATGTAGTCAGTACAGAGAGTGACACAAGTACTAATCGCTCACAGATCATTTGTTACTCTTTAAATTTGATGCACATACCTTACAGTCACAAATTAATCTATATAAAAGTTGACTAACTGTTTTCAGTTACGTAACATACCAGCAGATACTGAAGGAATGTCGAATGTAATACCACACAACACTTCATATTTACAAGTGACTGCCACTAGATATTTCAGTGATGTTTGTGATCCTCTGCTTCATGTAAATGACTGTATAACATCTTCTAGTTATCGCCTATTATTTATGTATACGCATGCAGTGAGATAACGTACACGTCATGGAAGCTGGAAGGTAGTTTCCGACTAAAACCTTGTGAAAAATACTCAATATAACTTAGACATGAAATAGACTTCACAAAGTAACTATCAAGTGGAGCATTCTCTCATGTTTGAATAAAAGTCACTATCATGTTGTTTCAGCGAAATAAAGGAAGGAGAACAGCAAGTAGGTAAGTCCGCTTCACAGTACCAACATCTTATTATTTAATTCTGATGTTTCGTACATTAATACTTTCTATCCAACTTTATTAACTTGATGCAGAATTTTACTATCCAAACTCTAACTCAGGGTGATGTGGAACCTAGTTCCATATTAGATTTGTTTATTTGATATAAAGCGCACAGTGATACAGTATTATTTAATCGATTACGTTTCGAGCATAAATTATTGCTCATAATCAATGTGATATGATATGATATGATTATGAGCAATAATTTATGCTCGAAACGTAATCAATTAAATAATACTGTATCACTGTGCGCTTTATACCAAATAAACAAATCTAATATGGAATTACATTCTACCACAGTGCCCAAGTTTTTCACTTATATTAAAGATGTGGAACCTGTTGAAGACTTATATATATCCATATCACAGTTCATATGGATGAACATCTTGTTTATTGGTACTTAAGGCAGTAAAAACCACTCGAAAACCTAAGTTAAGTTTCGTCAAACAACAATATTCCCTGTAATTTCCCTACTTGTTTGCATTAAAAATTCCAAAGAAACAACCTTTTTTCTATTGATGAGTTCAAGGTCATTTCGCTGTCACACAAAGCCAGGAAAGCCTACATACTCAACTAGATGAATTTTATCGTCAAGTAAGATCAAGCCATTCACTTTTAATGGGATTCTAACATTTAATAGCACTTATGGAGACTGCTTTCACTTCTTTCGATAAGTATGTCCTAAAGGATAACTAACAAGAAAGAGAAGTTGAGATATGAATACTAGATATTCGCTTGTTGTAATCGAAACAGACAGCTTACTAGTAATAGAGCTTCCTATTAAGTGTGATAGCAAGGTTGATTGTACCGAATTATGTAGCAATCAAAGTCCACCCTTGATCAGTGTTCTCTGACATTATAATAATGAATAAACAGCAACGGTCACAATACATATAACTGAACTTACACGATGGAACTGTCTCATGTTTGTCGTTTTATACCTTTGCAATGCTTTATATATAATCATTGAACTTAATCCACAAATAACCAACACGGAGATTGTTATCAACACAACAATATAAGTCTCAATTTTGTATACATACTAAAATTAAGCATACGTGAGCAAAAAAGAATACAAATTTAGAGAGGATCAACCAAATAAACAAACTTTTATCCTAATATGGAGTTAAAACATGTCGAATATCATAACAGAACTTTGATATACAACAGTACTACTTATGCTATCAGTGCTAGTAGCATTTCTAATATGCTGAAAACTTTACTATTTCTTTTTGATTCGATTATGAAAAGTAGTAGTAGTAGTAGTAGTAGTAGTAGTAGTAGTAGTAGCAGTAGTAGTAGTAGCAGTAGTAGTAGTAGTAGTAGTAGTAGTAGTAGTAGTAGTAGTAGTAGTAGTAGTAGTAGTAGTAGTAGTAGTAGTAGTAGTAGTAGTAGTAGTAGTAGTAGTAGTAAATAACAGAAGTATTCTCAAATGCTTTAGAAGAGCAAGTATAGTCGGTGGGGTGGAATCATATGAACCCAATTTATTAACTCAGAGGCTTTCATCAGCTGCTTACAACCTAAAAAATTTTTGATTAGCATGCTTTATTTCAATGAAATCAATCAAAGCAAGGAAACGGCATTTGAGTTTCATAAGAAATTACACTTCATCTAAGAGATATATATTTACAAAATCACTACATGACATTTTAACTTTATTTAAGTTCCCAAAGTTTCTTTAACTGGCTATACCATGGTAGCGTTTCTATTGATCTGAATAAACTAAACTGTGTAAATATCTCACTGGAGTCTGTTATCTTGTATGCTATACATCGTGAGCGCTTGAAGGGAAGTGACGAAATAATAAAATAGACTCAAATATTCAAAGGGGAGAAGTACCTTATCATTATTATTATTGTTATTAATTATGATTATTATTTGTCCATTGGCTTCCTAGTAGAAAATATGGCTACACTAGCACGTCTCAATTCCACTCTATTCTATGCAACCTTCACAACCTGGCTCCACCACTAACCACAAGCTCCAATTTCTTCTTCACACAATCTCCTCCATGTCACCCTCAGATGGGATGCCCAACTCGTCGTTTCCCATTCGGATTCCATTCAACCACCTGGCCTGACGCCTAATCTCCCCAAACCGTCTTCTCACTCAATGTCCAATCCAATCCAATCCAATCCAATCCATCTCAACTCTCTTCAAATGCATATTAGTAGGGCGATAGCTTCTTGGTTATTTGGTTCGTCACCAGGTCAGAGTTCCTTGTTCCTTATGCTCATTATTCTGATCATCTGATCTCCATCTTCACCATCCAGTGAGCATGGGAGGCAGCTGTTGATGTGGTGTATATCTGAAAATTATTGGAAATGCTTTCCACAACGCGCCAAGTCTCTCAATCATCACATAGAAGCACTGACTTACTTGACTGACATTAGTGTTGAAAATCCCGATCTCCTTCACGCTTTATGCTGAGTGCAATGCAATGCAATACAGTACAGTACAGTGCAATAGATCTCCACACTGATTTCAGGTTGATGAAGGTCTGTCTTGCTGTCTTTCCGATCCTGGCTTGGAAATCCTCATGTGTGTCTGTGCAGCCTGTAGTTGGAATGATGCTGCCTTGTCTAGCTTGGTGTAGGTGAAGGAGACCACCTCCTTTATATTTCTCCGGTTGATGGTGATTGGTGTTTGTTGTTGTTGTTGTTGGTTGGTTGGTTTCTGTATCTTCTTCACCTCTGTCTTCTACACGTTCACCTGAAGGAAGTCTCATCTTCGTTGTTTCACCTCTTCTGTCAGCCTGTTGGTTTGTGCGACATTAGACATCAATCGTCATGGTCGGCGAAGTCCAAGTCTTATTCTGGAGTCTTTTCCTCGGTCCAACCAGCGAATGCCCATCTTCTCACTCCTCATGGTTTGCTGCATGATTCAGTCCAGTCCACCACAATCAGAAAGATCATCGGTGATGTTAGGCGGCAACGTCGTCTTACTCCTACCTGTTTTCACTTCACAGGCGTTACTGAGATTTCCATTGTGGATCACTTGGCATGTGGTGTCTTCACATAGCATATGGCTGCACTGAATGTTGTTGATAAAGTTTTGTGGCACTAAGACTGTAGTGTTGAAGCAACTGCCTGCCAAATTACTTGTCGGTCGACACTGTTGAAGGCCTTTTCAAAGTCGATGAAGTTGATGTGAAGATCCAGTTGACTGACATTCAATACTCTGTTCTATGATGATGCGTAGTGTAGCGTTGCAGTGTGATCCACACATGAATTGTTCTTCCTGAATCAAGCCAGCCATCCAGCCTGTTCTGGTCGTAATTTCCAATCCAGTGCATTTTTTAGTCTGTCCAGGATGATGTGGCTTGCTTCGGGTGAACAGGAGAATGACTAGGCAACAGTTCATGCAATCACTTAGGTCACCGTTCTTTGAGAGTCTGCTGATAATCTAGCACTTCTTCCAGTTTGCGCGTACCTTTCCTTCCTTCCGAACCTTCTGCAGTAGTGGTGTGAGCGTGTCGGCTGATGTCTCTGTGTCTGTTTTCAGTGCTTCTGGTGGAATTCCATCTGGTCCTGCTGCTTTCCGGAATTTCAGTAGCTTTATTGGAGTTCAGGACTTCTGCTTTATTCGGAGGGTTTGTGTTTACTGGTAAATCTGTGGTTGGGCTGCTGATGGTATTTCTGGACGAGTTGCAGGTGGTGGTCGAGAAGTACCTCATTAGAGTATTATATTCACGAAGTCCATGTAAGAAACTCTAGTTGACACAGACATCTACAGGCCTTAAACTAAGTGTTAGCTTGCCAGCTTAAAGACGTTGTTGTAATACTGACATACCACAAAAGTTAAATATTCAGTGTTTAGTCTGAGTCTGCATAACGGACTATTTAGAGAAATTGCAGGGTGGTTTACTTTCATCTTTATGATGATTATTATTGCGATTTTAGACTAATGGTGAATAAGTTTCTCCTCATTCATACTCAATTCCACTGTTTAACTCTGTGCAACAAGATTTGATACCTTTTTAACCGTTAGTTATTTCTAAGTTGGAATCTCTCCAGTTGCATTCAGTCTTCACAAATGGCATTTCTCTTTTTTCACTGGTAGTATACTTTTATTCCCTGTTACCAGTTAATTTAGTTTTGAAAAGAATCTTAGTTACTAGGATTTCACTCGGTAATCTAAAGGTTGATATTCTTGCTCAGTAAACTGGGGTCACATTCGTTTGTCTCTTTGAAGAATCAATATTTTGCATCCCAGATTAACTGCTATATATTACAGCAGGCTAAAAGGTTATGCTGGCTACAAGGTTTGTTCCTTGAGATCCTACCATATCAGGAAGGTTTTTTGAACTGTGGTGAAACTAAAATCGCTCATTCTGATATCGCACGTAGTTTGTACTGTGATGACAGTATGAGGGATAAGCTGTACTACTAGCTGGTTCGAGATGTCGCAGAAGTAATGTTTTATTCTGGAATAGCCAATACTCCACCTTTGTTGCCTTCCAACTATTTGGAGAGGCAGTTGGGAAAAAAGGTGACCCTGCTAACCAGGTATCCTTCCCATAGCCTACAAATTTCTTTCGGTATAGGTAAAGGCATGAAAATCGATAGAAAAACCATATGTGACTGGCTTCAAATGGATATCATTTGGTCTATGCGGTAGGGTAGAACTAGTTCACTTTCATTTTCAGGTTTTTTAAGAGAATACCAATGTCTACATTGCGGATAGTTGAAAGTACCAATCTCTTTCGAATTTAGCTTCATACAAATCTCTACTAGTCTTCATTAACTTTCTTCATCTTTACCCTTTCTTTTGCTCTCGTAACTTATTTTCATTTGCTTACAATACCTCATCTTTCTTACTCTGAAACTATTGCTACTAATTTGATCTAACACAGTTTCTGAGGTCTACATCTAGGAATATCCTAAATTGAGTCCTTACTGAAAATGAAGCAATTTACAAAGTAGCGTCGTTGACTAAAACTATAAATCTCGGATTTTGAATACATTTTGTGCTTTTGATATCCATGTACTATTCAGAATGTTATGAAAAAGAACTTGCAGACCAGAATGAAGAGAACAGTTATTCACTGGTTTGATATTTTATTGTACTTGATAAATCCCCAGGTTTGGTGACTTTATTAATTAGATGTTCACTTCATATCAACTGGACAATCTGATGATTTTACTAAGTTACCTTGTGATAGTCCGAGGATTCTTCAGGCACTTCCATTAAATTTCAGAAGAAAGGAAAACGTCATATTCTAGAGCAGAACTTCATGTTTTGAGCTTGACGCAAGTTGATAGTCGTCTGTCCAGCTTTATAGTTCTGATATTACCAGAAAGGACGATGACCTACATGGTAACTAACTGCAGCTCTAACGAGATAAAGGAGGATTCCTATCGAAAGCTCTCAATTAGATGAAATACACATTGCTTGGATATAATCATACTAGCAGGTGGTTTCAGTGCTACGATAAGGAAGCTGAGCTAGTCAGAAGAGCCTCTTAGAGCTACCTACTTCAACCCATACTGATAAACTGACATTGGTGACTGTCTACTACAATTCTGTCGTGTAAATCATTTCTTCTCCTGGTCAGCATAAGATCTGGATATGAAGAAATAGGAGGTAAATCAGTAATGGACACCGACAGATTACCGTACTACAAGACATTGCTGGGGCGAATCTGTGGAGGATAACAGCCCTTTATAGAATACCTGGGTGGACTCCAGTCATGTATAAATAAGTAAATCATTGTGCCTAGAAGGAAGATGAGCTTATCAAGCTTGCATTTATAAAGAAAATAACTGGGCATCCGTATGAACATAACAGCCACCATCATCCTGATGACGTCCGTTGTATTAGCCATTCTTATATAGTGCTATACACCCCTAATTCCACATGGCTGTACCTGCTGTTTTGCCCATGAATTTAAAATAAACTACATAGTTGTTTTCACACCGTTCCTAGTTTTTCTTCTCTCTCCTCTCAAGACTGAACTCTCATCTGTTATTAACTACTTTAACCTATATGTGAATTTAGTATTTTCAAAGTCATTTAGAAATGTATATATTCAGCATTGCGGTCCACTGTACTGACTGTTGTTGAGAAAGTAAAAAGCTCTCAGTCAATGATCTGTCTTCTGTTCTTGTCTTCACGAGTCGGTGGTATTGTTGTGATGGTCGTAGTTGACGTTCCAATTTACGTTAGAGTCGATTCGTTTGCATGTTAGGCTCGTATCACTCGTAGACTGTTAGGTTATAGCATATCGGAACGATCATAAAGATGGGAACTTTCCACCGAAGATAAATAAGTGTAAATGGGAAAACCATTTGCAAAAATAAGATGATTCCATCTTATTGCATAGGATTTTCGCCAGCAGCATACAACCTGAATAAATAAGTTAATAATCTTCATAATGAACATTAAAGTACCTTATATGGAGCATTTCAGGATGCCAGTTAGTGTTTTGAAAATGAGAAAAGATATTTCAGTTCAGAATGTAGTCGAAAAAGATGAGTGTCATACAAGGCTGGGTGAGGAATATTCACGGATGTGAGATAGGATTAAAAAATTAGATTTGATACCTCATCGTAATGACAACAAATACAGTAAATGAAGTAAATGAAACGATAGTCAGTGTGAACACGTCAAAACTCTACGAAACATGTTACTGACTGATGTGATTAGTTCTAGACCACTCACACTAATCAGCAGTGCTCCCTAGGCAGACCGATATGATGAGAAAGGAACTGGAAAACCGTTTTACACATTTGAGGAACAGTTTATCACTGGTGTGCTCAAATTGATTCGTCTCAGAAAGATGCATCAAACAGCATGTGCAATTACACAATCCAAATTTCCAACTCTTTTGTATGCTGATATGAATGACTCTAAGGTCACGGTAGCAACTGGTGACATAATCACCCAGATTTTTTAATTTCATAGAAAACCACCTTCCCCGTCCAAACACTTTAATTTGATTGGTGATTTCAACAGATACTGAAGTGATCTTTACATCCACTCTCATGACACTAATGATGTTTTGCCAATGACCTCTTCATTTGGCATATCTTAGTTACTATATGAACAATACAGTAGTGAATGAAACAACCAGTTGGTTCCCCTTCTTTTACAAAATTCTAACTCTTCAGCGGCAATAAAGAAACTTAACTGGTTTTTTCAATGATTCTCTGGGTGGTCCTTACAACAATTACTTGACATAATTTGTATTTCACACGAAAACATCACAACACTTACCAATAAACACTTCAAATCTGAACCAATGGATGAACTTAAATTATTTCTTTAACTCAGGTAACAAAAATAATTTATGATTGGATCGAGGTGAGCGGCCATTACTGGCATTTAGGTTCGTGTATGGATCCTTCGACACTGCCGGTATTTTTTCAAATGTGATATTAATAAGGGATGATGGTCAGTAGCGAAACCCGGGAGGTGTGTTTCATCCTATTTGGGACTTGCTAGCTGGATGTACCTGTCGCCTAGTGAGTGAGATTTACAAGCTATAACATTAAAACCATGCTGTTTCCATCGTGCAAGGAGTGGCAACCGTGATTCAGCGGTCTAGTGGATAATGCTGTGACGTTTGAAGCTATTCGTCCTGGATCCCAGTCTTAATGAGGACAATATCACTTTACTAGGGTACAAGTATATCAAGCTGATGAGTCAAAAAAGGAAAGAAACTGGCTTCCTGGATTCCATTGCTAGCTACTATCCGTCATTATTGTAGTTCATAGGCTGTACTTATAAATTATTGACTGATTATTCAATGAATAGTTGAATAAAAAGCCAGGCTGGAAAATTACTCGATAGTTAATTCATGAACTGCTTAAGAAATTAGTTGTTATTACGACTGTTAAATGATGACAATTTAGTTGAAATTATCAGTTGCTCAGTTATATTTATCAGGTACATTTCATATTTTAACGTTAACATTCACAATATGTCCTTATTTGTTCGATTTTTTATATAACCTTTTGTCTTTTCAGTTTACTTCGCATTTCTCTGGACGAAATAGGCTAATCAACATCCTCACTTGTACTGTTATCTGACACTCATGGGCTAACAATTTAAGGAATAATAGGCTGACATGAGAAAAGCTATTTAAGATTACATGTACATCGCACTATCTAGTGAATCACATAACCTGTATACAATTGAAGATGCATTGTTTGATCTCTTTCATTTCAGATAGAAGGAAATAAAGCTGCATCTTTAAATCATGTCTCTTGATGAATTCCTAGGAAGACAGTTCCTGACAGAAATCAGAAGTATCAGTAACAGCTGAGAAAATACAAAATTCACATGCTTCTGTTGATGCTTAAGGTTATACGACAGACGTTTAATCAACAGAAACTGCAGATTACATGATAGGAAAGATTCTTATTTTTCTTATTATTTCACTTAAGGTTTTCGTCAAAAAAAGGAGCGATTTTCCAGTAGGTTAAAATAAGTGAAAGAAGGTAGTGAAGCAAAACACTTGCTCTGTTGCTTTCACACAACGATACTACATTATCTTATATAAGGGAAATGTTGCAGTGGGTAAAAATGCTGCATCAGAGATTTATTGGTTGGCTGCTAACATTTATATTACCAGAAAATAGACTATTATTTCTTATTTGAAGGTCATATGAAAACTTGGTCATATATAAGGAGCTGTCTTAACTCATGGATGTTTTTCTGGTTCTTTTTTCTCATGCTTGTTTCACTCTCCTCAGTCTGAATGTCGCTGAAAATATATATCGCCTGTGAATGGGCTTGAAGTTGAGTCTTTCGATTACAATCATTTTCACCCGTGAACAGTGAATCAATTCTAACAAAATCAACTCCTAAATTAACTGATAAAACCACTAGGTTAGATCGTGAAGTTAACATTGAGATACTGATGTATTGCGCGTTGCTGAAAAGAATGGATATAATTAGTATATATTGAGAGGGCGGCAGAAATCATAGGCAATTACCAGCAATGGGCAAACATTCTGTCCAGAAAAATGCAAGTGGCAACACGGGCGTACTGAGCGAAAATCAAGGTAGAAACAGAAGAGGAAATGAAGCACGTTGTGCAAATGGACTGTCTTAATGGAAAGTGTAAAATATTTGATGACTACTGTACAAGATGTCAATAATAAACGCTCCTTCCTGCGTCTCAGTCTTCTCATTTCCTTCAATGACAGTAAAATCAACCAGTTCACTCTCTCATTCACACAGCAGTCAACTTTACAATGAAAAGTTATTCTTTAAAAAGTTGCCCAAGTCACCTGAAAGCATGTGGATTTTTAAAAAACAGATATCTTTTTAGTGAGTGACCTTAAAAGTCACCCTAGCAACAGCTGAAATAACCAATTAGGTTTCTGTATTTTGATTGAGAAGTCAAATTTTTATGAAATAGGGAAATCAGATTGGTTACTTTTTTTTATTAATCATGTACGTGAATCATGTCTTTAATCTATGCTACAAACACGAAAATACCTCAGTAATTTGTGTCAGATGAATTCCTTTATTGTGGAACCAATGTCCTATCTTCATATACTTCAGTAACTCAAACCTTGAAGTATTCATTAGGCCAAATAATTTCTTTCGTTAACCCATTACACTCGAACATTGTTAATAGGTAGTGGTTAGCAGTGGAATCCAGGACGCACATTTCATCCTATTTGGGACTCGTCAGATAGATATACTTGATCACATTAGCTACTGCTTGCACGACGGGTATGGTATACTCTTTGATGTCATACCTTGTAAATATTCGTCTTCAATTGGACCGAATTAGTCGGGGACTACTGACATATGGGCTCCTCTGTGGATGCCTTGATATGCCCAGTATTTCTCAAGTTTGATAATAATTGTAGATGGTAGTCAGCAGTGGAACCCAGGACTACCAACTTTACCGAACATTGACGCGCCTTCTCACACTATGCAGCGATGATATATACATTAGGTACGTTGATAACATAAAATGATTCCGTGTCTATTGTGAAACTATTGTATGTGTATAGAAGATTGAATAACAAATCAAAAATTTAGGCGATTAGGTTGCTAACTGGTTAAGACGGTGTAGAAATGTATCGTGTATATCCAACCACAACTTACCTTTATCTTTTGTAACAAGTTACACAACTGTAATTACTGGAATGGCAGATTTCCACATTTCCATTGTTCTTTGTCTTATTATTACCTACCGACTCTATGAATTATGAGTGTTTTTCCTAGTTTACTTAAAATAAATGTGTCATCAAGGAATAAGCTACGTTCAAACTGAGTTAAAAAAGAAAACCAAAAGATTTGATTCTCCTTTAAAGTGAACATCATTATTTGCAGTTAATATCTAACTTTGAGCAGATTATACTTACTTCTGTGCGTTTTAATGGACCAGATAGGTAGTATAATTCGCCATTCACAAATTTAACAGTTTCATATTGAGCAATAAACCCGTCTATTGATAACGTTCCATTCTAAACCAAATGCAAGATAGTTGTTTATTTTCATTTGGTTACTTGTGAGTAGTCAAACATAATAAACTAAATAAACTGCTCAACGATTGACAATGGAAACTGTCATTCGATGCACGGGTAATCAGACACTTCTTATTATTACAATAAACTAATAGCTGATAGAATTTGAAGTATAATAAGTGCATTTTTCACGAAACAACGGAGATTTTTGCCCTGATGAAAAGAGTTTTGGAGTCGAATGGTATACAATCCACTGACATAGTCTCACTACTCTTTAGTCGGGAATGAAACAGCCGTTAAACGCATCAAATATACAATTTGGATTCTGTACTTCAGCATTGATTACATAATGCACAAGACAAGTGGATTAGAAATGACACTAAACCTAACTAGCTAAACCCCTGTAAATATTCATTTCAAGAAGAAGGCGAAAGCAAACAGTTTTTGTTGGTGTCATGTTCTCTGAACTGAATGGTTTGGTCGAGAAGCCTTCATTGTTATTCTAGACTACATCGTCAGCATAAACTTCAGAAAGAAAATATTGAAACATACTCCTAGACGTTCTCATCAATAAGAAACACTGTGAAGTACTAGAGACTTCAGTTTACTGAAAAGTGACATACATACACATATATACACCAAACAAATTTTGCACTGTAATGGCAATCAACCTATAGTTTGTAAAATGTGTAGCGTAAAAACACTGTTTTGGGGACTAAGAACAATTGTACTGCGCTAGAACTAAAGAAACTGAAGAAGAGCACATTTACAAAGTGTTCAGATGTAATAACTGTCCAAACGACTTTATCAGTCGGGATTCAAAAATGGAAAAGGACAGTTTTTTACTTGAATATAGTAAATGAATAGTCCTATTTACGTATTTTGAGGTCATTAAAGATTTTATTTTCAAGGTAGTATTCATCGCTGGCTGACATCAGTTGGAGGATCATTAAAAACCTGGGGACACTGGGGAGTTGGTTCGTCCTACAACCTTGCTAGGGATCAAACCCAGTGGCTTCATATTTCACAGTGAACATGTTATATATCCAACTACTGAGTCAGAGTTCAACGGTCCACAGTTACCAACTGATGTCAGTCCGTGATGTATACTACCTTAAACATAAAATCTGTCATTGATGACAAACTTCAACATATATATATATATATATATATATATATATATATATATCCCTGAATTCTAATGAGAAGCTGTGAACTGCGAGGTCAAGCAGTCGGAATTGAAGCGCATACCAATTAAATTCCTTGGCGAATAGTCACACTATATCACAAATTGATAGAAGTAGTAAATTGTGGATCACTGGATTTCGACCCATCGGCTGAATGCTTAATAAGTTCACCATGAGACCTGTAGATCGCGATTTTTATACCTCCGGGGGTTACGAGCGCCTGCTGCTGAGAAGTCCAACAGTAGGGCAAAACAGCTATCTAGTGCCCCCAGGTTTTCATTGATTCTCGAACTCGATCCTATCAGCACGGAGGATCTCTGTTAGGGACTCAAGTAACTAAAACATGAACAAACACAATTATAACAAAATATTCTGTTTTCAACCAAAAGATCCTTTACCAAACAAAGAAGTATGAGAAAAATACAGTTTACATGATGAACAGCATAGAATGTTCACAACACTATGTTTGTTTACAGTTGACTTGGTTGTGTTTGCTCGCAGTAGACTCCAGGACGCGCGTTTTATCCTACTTGGGACTCGTCAGCTGGATGTACCTGCACCCCAGTGAGTGATGTTATTCCCACTGATATTCAAGCAGTATACAGGCATCCGTTTAAGCGTCCACTCGAAAACTGAATTCGATTAATTCTACCCAGTATGGAAACGGAGAATTACAAGTATCAACAAATAATAATACTATGTTCATTTGTTACTTTTATTGTCATATAGCTTAAAGAATTGTTGAAGGCAGACTGGCAGTGGAATGATATGATACATCGTCAATCATAATCACAGTTTCGCATAGGAGGAGGAGTAGACCTCGTGACGTGCAAGGTCAAAGGTCACAAGATGATTTCCCGATACCTACACCTTGAATAGAACTCCAATTAGTAAACATACTGAGGCAAACTCTATTTGCAGTTTAATTAAGAAGAAAAGAGTCACCTAGTCAGCAGTTGACACTTGATACAGTAAACCAGTGATCATACATACTGTCAGCAAGAAAGAACACAGCTTCATGTGGAATATGTTCTAACTGTCAATCTTCGTGTCGATCTTAGCGCCCAAAGTTATTCTTGTTATGCAATCTCCAAACCGACATAACATTTTGATCCATTAGTACTTTCTGTTTATTTGTTATGTGTTTAATTCGCTTAAACCTGTCTGCCCAATTACTTCATAACTTTCTCTCTGATTGGTTGTCTTTTTCTGTAATTTTATTTTGTGTATGGATGGGTCTCAGTCATTCGGCTAATCTGATTGTTGGGGTATTGAGCTCCTAGTTTTAACTGTACATTATATGCATATCTTGTTGGCTCCCCTTGTAATTGACTCGACGATTTTCCCCACGGAGTCGCAACAGTTGAAGTATTACCCTGTTAATAAACCTCAATAATTGTGTTCATCAATTTTGAAGGTATGCGGGTTACTTTAATTGGGGTCTAGCAGTTCCAATTTCATACATTTAACACTTCACGTTGGCCGAAACTCCCTTTCCAGAATGATGAAAAGAAATTACATATTAAAAAAACCATTGTGTGATAAAAACCACTTCTGCTGCTAACTGCTCAAACATTTCAAGAGCATCAAAGGTGTTACCTGAACATTCATGTAACCTTAAACCTGACTGACGTTTTCACGAAATTGGCACTGATAATGTCAAGAAAAGGTGTAATGTGATTGACGCACTTCAACACCAGCGGACATTGTAAATCAAACAATCATCTTTATGCTGTCATAAGTATCATTCCATATCAAGGAACGACTTATGTATCACTGTGTATGCAACAACTTCACAATTACACTAGATTGGAAAGATTTCCCAATATATTCTCTTCGATTTATAAAACTCCGTCCGTCACAAAACTAAACTGCACCATAGTTTCTTAGCTGTTGATCTGGTGTTGATATTGCAAACTTAGTTGACAGAACTCTGTCAGATCTTGAGACTAGACATCGTGATGTCGGTTAGTCTGCAGTGGTAAATCATTGTATCTAATCTAATCATCAAAGAGACTAACTGCGGTCCATATAACTCAGGTTCTACGTCTCTGTTTGCAGTGGTGACTGAAAGCTTGAACCTATGAGAGGGTGTTGGTTCCCTTCACACTGTAGATTCACCATTTTTATGAATACCTACAATTAATAAACCTATGTTGAGTAAGGAATCCTACTGATTGCTATCATTTGGCTAATTTTCATGTGATATTAAGTTAGTATCGACCACGGAATGGCATCATTTGAAGAGACAATCAAAACTTGGCAGGTGTCTCTTCCTAGTATGGGACCCTCCAGAATCGCGCACCCATAGACCCCTAGGGTACAGCCCAGGATCTTCAGGTTCCACAGGCAACCCATTACCACTGAGTTGCTGGATCGAAGTCCGATGGTCTACATTTTCCTACTTCTATCAGTTCCTGATATAGCATGACCTGCATCCGGTGCAGTCATTGAGTACCTGTCCGCACGTCACCACAAACCTCCAAACTGAAAATTCGATCTAGTGTTTACTAGGGACTTGCTTTGAGATGAGGTTCCCAAATTTCTGGAGAGAAGTTGTAATTGGTGGGGCAAACCAAGTCGGATGTGAGGATAAGTATTCAACTACGGTACCGGGTGAAAGTCATGCTAAATTGCGAACTGACAGAAGTAGGAAAATATGGACCATTGTATTTCGACCCAGTGACTCAATAGTAACGAGCCGGCTGGGGAATCTGAAGGTCCTGAGCTGTACCTTTGGTTGTACCGTGGGTGCGCGATTCTGATGAATCCCATGTTAGGAAGAAACATCTGTCCAGTGTTTCCAGGTTTCAATCTTTGCTTCAACTGATGTCATTCCGTGGTCAATACCAATGTGAAACCAATAAAATCCTTACTAACCTTCAAACAATAATAACTATTGCGTGATTTGTTAAACGGTAGCAAAATCTACAGATCAGCCTACGCGGCTTCTAACAGCTCAAGTTGTTCAGTAGTAGTATCCAGACTCTCATTGTACGTTCAAAAGAAGTATATGCAACCTCTTTCTTTGGCATAGACATCGTAGATTATTCAACACTCTAAAAACCCACATATGACGTAACTATTTTTATTCTGTAAACATTTAGTTTACTTTCCTATCATATAACTTTCCATTGTGATGGAATTTATATTGACGTTTGACCAGAAATTACTCTGGAATGTTCTGTCCTTTTTACTACATATTCGGGAGTGTACAGCTGAGAGAATGATTTCGTCGAAAACAAATATGTTTTTTCGCTGCAATCATCTGTTTTCCGATATTTACAAATCTTTTTTTCAGTAAAGTCCCAGACATCAGCTCTAAGCGATACAGGTTTGAATCACCGATGGAATACAGGTTTCTTAAGACTTACTGATAAGCCATAACAAAGGATGTTAACAAGCACGAGAGGTGGGTCTACGGCTTACTGTTGATCGATTTCCAACAGCTGATGCCAATTTCATGTAATAACTGTGAGACTTTATCATTTTACCACTTTTATATGACGACCATCAGAGTAAGTGATTTTCAATGATAGTGTAATATATCGGATGCCATGAGGTCTTAGCAGGTGAGCAGTACACCGTATGTAATTGCAGCACTCAGTGAATTTCAAATGCTCAGAACTGTATACACTCGCATACACTTCTTGTTAATAAGTTTGAAGAACTACTAAGACTATACAATGCAAATTCTGTTGATTAATTGTAGCTCTAAACCAGGATCAAAAAGAGTATATTGATGCAGACACAACTGAGTTTAAAGAAAATTTATTACTGAATCTCATTTCTAATAATAAATACCAAAAAAAATTTAAAAAGACGTTTACTTACCACTGCATAGATTTCAATAAGCGTTTTATTTTCAGTGATAAGTTTAATTGGTGAATTCACTGTAGACTCTTTAAGCTCTTTAGCTGTTATAGGTTTTGACCGAACAACTATATGCTCCTTTACATCTTGACAAGTTTTGACAATCTACAAGCAAAATGTAGAATATAGTTCCATATTAGATTTGTTTATTTGATATAAAGCGCACAGTGATACAGTATTATTTAATTGATTACGTTTGAGCATAAATTATTGCTCATAATCATATCAATGTAATCACACTTCTTTCGACATCTGATTTTATAGTCCTGTCACCTGATCTCTCTTTGTTTTTTTGTTTTTTGATTGGTAGTAAAGTTTTCCATATCTCTGGTATAGGTGTTGCGTCATTCCTATTACATGTGTTGGGTGTGGATTCGATGAACAAAGATTCAGTAATTAATCTCTCTCTCCACCTAGCTATATTAGACTTAAGTACAGTGGGTTTTTTCCCATCCTATTGTGTAGTTGTGTGTTAATGAATGTAATGCAATGGCTGAGTGTTTTTCTAGATTATTGATCTTATTGGGGTCTGCCGTTCTATGTTTAGCTAAATTCCTATGTTCTGTTAATCTAACTGACCCCGACCGGCTAGTTTGACCTATGTATTTGACTTCACAGTCATTACATGGAATTTGGTAGATTATATTATTTTGCTTAATTGGTTCTATCGGATCTTTTAGCCGACAAAGCTTACCTCTAAGTGAGTTTGTTGGTTTAAATGCCACCCTAATTCCAACCTTGTTGAGAATCCTACGTATGGTTTCTGATGTTCCTTCCTTGTATGGTATCACATTCTACCACAGTGCCCAAGTTTTTCACTTATAAAAATGTAGAATATATAACTATTCACAATCTTCTTGATACATTGACTGTAACAGGGACAAAAGCACATACAAGCCATTGTCTAGTGGGTGTTACTGATAAGAATGTATGTAAGTAGTATATGTTGAGAGGGCGGCAAAAATCATAGGCAATTACCAGCAATGGGCAAACTTTCCGTCCAGACAGATGCAAGAGACAATGCGGGCGTATTGAGAGAAAATAAAGATAGAAACAGAAGAGGAAATGAAGCACATTATGCAAATGGACTGTCTTAGTGGAAGGTGTACCATATTTACTGACTACTGTACAAGATGTCAATAATGAACATTCCTTTCTTCGTCTCTGTCTTGTCGTTTTCTACAAATGTCCCTGAATAAATATGTTTGTGGACTATGAAAAACTTTTACAGGATTGATACAGACCTGAGTATCCATTTATTCATGATGATAAACTGTTGGTAACAACTGAAATCTTCGAGCAACAATGCACACGGGATTATTCCGTGTATGATTATATTTTAACATGTCATATGCTGTTCTCAGCTAACAGTGATACCATATTACGTTTGTTTATTTGATACATTGACATATTGTTATTTACTGGATGACGTTTCGAGCACAAATTATTTCCTTTAATCACATCAGTGTAATAGCACAGGTTTAAGTATCTGACTTTCATAGTTCTCTCACTTCATATTTTTGGTTTCTAGTGGTAGTAAAAACTTTCCACATCTCTGACATAAGTGTTGCGTCATTCTTATTACATGCTTTGGGTGCCGATTAGATGAACAAAGGTTCAATAATCAATGTATCCCTCTCTTCACCTAAATACATGAGACTTATAAAAGTATGTTTTAATATAATCTCAGAGTTGTTGTGAAATCAAAATAAGGTTTTGTTTCCAATGTTTTTTTCCGTGTATGCTACAGTTTCCTCAGCACAACTTCTTCCAGGAGGACTATTGCCCGGGTGTTTATCATATATATTAGTACAGTGTTTTTATCCCACCATATTGTGTGGTTGTGTGCTGATGCGCACATTACAATAACCCAGTTTTCTAGATTATCGATCCTATTGGAGTCTATCATTCTACATTTGACTAAATTACTGTTTTGATATTCTAATTGATACCGATCGTGTGGTTTAACCTATGTACTTGACCTCGTAGTCACTGCATGCAATTTAGTAGATTAGATTATTTTGCTTAATTGGATCCATCGAATTCTTAGACTGACAAATTTGATCTCTGAGTGAGTTTGTAGCTTTGAATGTCACCTTAATTTCAGCCTTGTTAAGAATTCTACCTAAGGATTCTGATGTCTCTTCCTTATACGGTAACACAACAGAGATCTGAAACTACTTTCTACTTGTATCATCGTTATTATCATCAACATTCATATTGCTTTTATGACTTCGTTTCTAGTGTTCTAACGAATTTATTAGTAATATCCAAAGGATAATTATTTATTAGTAGCATTTTCTTTTCATGTTTCCATCCCTTATTTTTAAGTCCTTGCATTGACTTTACTGTCTAAACACTTGTCTAAATCCAGCAACCTTCTACAGGAAACCAACACATTCCCACAAGTATCAAGACTTCAGGTCATCTCATTTAATATCATTTAAGGTGGGTTTAGTCAAATGTATAGATAATAAGGCTAAAAAAACTCACTAGTCAATGCAAGGACTTCAGTAAAGAATGGAAACATTGAAAGAAAAAACCCCTAATCAATAATTATCCTTTGGATTTAAATAATAAATTAGTAAAAACATAGGAGACGATATCATAAAAGCAATATGAATGTGAATGATAATGATATCGTAGAAGGAGAAACAAGTATCAGGCCTCTATTGCGTTACCATATGAGAAAGAAAGATTAGAATCCTTAGGTAGAATTCTCAAAATGGCTGGAATCAGGGGGGCATTCGAAGTTACAAAGTGACTCGGAGATAAACTTTGTCGGCTTAAGGATCCAATAGACGCAACGATAACGAGGATGACCATTGTATACAATTATTATTATCATTATTATTACCATTAATATTAACATCACTATTGTTAGTATATTATTATTTGTCTCTCGGTTTCCTAGTGGAACATAGGGCTTCAGTAGCACGTCGCCACTACACTTTCCTCTCTGCAGTCTTCACGACTCCCCATAAGCTTTCATTTCTTCCTCAAACCATTTACATATCACCTCCAGTTGGGACGCCCAACAAGCCGTTTCCCATCGGGATTCCACTCAAGGGCCTGGCCTGACGGCTGATGTCTCCACACAGTTTTCTCAACAGATGTCCAATCCATCTCCACTTCCTTCTGCATTTCTGTTGAGCGATGGGTTCTTAGTTGGTTGATTGCCAACCAGCCAGAGTTCATTGGTGCTTATTCTGATTATGCTGGCCATCTGACCTCCATCTTCAGTATCCAGCATGGGTGGCAGATATTCATGTAAGTCTGCAGTGTGTTTAAAATGCTTTTCGTAACGCGCCAAGTCTCTAAACTATCAGGTAGAAAGAAGCACCGACTTGACTGATATGAATGTTGAAAATCCGGATATTGTTCAATCTCGTGCTGAATGCAGTGGATCTCCACACTGATTCCAGATTACTGAAAGCTTGTCTTGCTTTTCCGATCCTGCTTTTGACATCCTCGCCTATGCCAAAGCCACTAGTTGAAACGGTGCTGTTTGCCTACGTAGGTGACAGAGACTACTTCCTTTAAGTTTCTACCGTTGATGGTGATTGGAGCTTGTTGTTCATGCTACTGTTGGTTGGGTATCTTCATCACCTCCGTCTTCTCTACGTTCACTTGAAGTCCCGTTTCCGCTGCCCTGCCTCTTCTGTCAACTTGTTAGTTTTTGCCTGAATATCTTCGAGTTTGTGCGACAAGACATTAGACACAAATCATCATCGTTGGTGAGATCCGAAAATTTCCAGGATCTTTTCTCTGGTCTAGCGTATTCCCCTCTTCTCGCTGCTCGCTGCTGGTTTGTTGCATGATCCAGTCAACCACAACCAGGAAGATCATGGGTGATAGTAGGCAGTCTTGTCTTACTCCTTCATGTCTTCACTTCGAAGGTGTTGCTGAGATTTCCATTGTGGATCACATGGCATGTGGTGTCTTCATATAGCCGTTGAATGAGGTTGATAAATGTTTGTGGTACTAAAACCGTAGTGTTGAAGCAACTGCCTGTCAATTCAGGTCTCAGTCGACGCTGTTGAAGGCCTTTTCAAAGTCGATGAAGTTGATGTAGATATCCAGTTGACTGACATTCTATACTCTGTTCTATGATGATGCGTAGTGTAGCGTTGCAATGTGATCCATACATGACTTGTTCTCCCTGAATCAAGCCAGCCATCCAGCCTGTTCTGGTCGTAATTTCCAATCCAGTGCATTTTTTAGTCTGTCCAGGATGACGTGGCTTTCTTCGTGTGGACAGGAGAATGACTAGGCAACAGTTCACGCAAACACTGAGGTCACCGTTCTTTGAGAGTCTGCTGATAATCTAGCCCTTCTTCCGTTTGCAGGTACCTTTCCTTCCTTCCGACCCTTCTGCAGTAGTGGTGTGAGCGTGTCGGCTGATGTCTCTGTGTCTGTTTTCAGTGCTTCTGGTGGAATTCCACCTAGTCCTGCTGCTTTTCGGAATTTCAGCAGCTTAATTGAAGTTCAGGACTTCACTTCTGCCATTGTCGGAGGGCATTTGTTTACTGGGCCAGTCACTGTGGTTGGGCTGCTGATGGTATTTCTGGACGAAGTGCAGGTGGTGGTGGTAGTCGATTCAAGAGCTTCTTGAAGTGGTCGGCCCATTGTTTCCTTTGTTTCTCCTCTTTGCTAACTAGATTTCCTTCATTACTTTTCATCGGTTTCGTCTGGGTTGATCTCTTCCCAGATAACAACCTCGTTATTTGATACAATGTTGTCAGGTCTCTCCTACCTGCAGCCTGTTCTGCTTCACTTGTCAGTGTTTCGTAGAAGTGTCTTTTGTCTTTCCATGCACTCTTTTTCACTTCTTTGTCCAGTGTTTTATACACTGTACTCAGTTCCTCTTGTCGTTGTGCATCCTTCCACTGGTTTATATTCTGCTTCACCATCCTCCTCTCCTCTATCAGCTTCCAGGTATCCGTCGAGATCCATTCCTTGTCTTCTTTCTTCTTCCTTCCTAATATTGCTGTGCAGGTTTCTTTCCACATCTCTTTCAAAGACTTCCAGTGTTCTTCCACACAGGTTTCTTCAGGGATGTTGCACGATATCTCCCATTTTGTCCTGATGGCTGACGTGAAGATGTACTTTGTAGTTTCATCCTTCAGTTTCCAAGTGTTGTACTTGAACTGTGGTCTATCACCAGTTTCCTTGAAGGCTTTCAACTTGATTTGGGAGGTAAGTTCCTTGCACTAGAACAGTGAGTGGTCTCAGCCTACATCTGCTCCTCTTCTTGACCTTGTGTCAAGTAGACCGCATCTCCATTTTCTTGAGATTGAGATAAAGTCGATTTGATTTTTAGTGTGTCCTGGTGTCTGGTGAAATCCATGTCGCTCGCTTTGTGGATATCCTTGTGCGTGGACACACTGCCTCACTGCAATCACCAAATCGTTGAATGCATAGAATTCTGCAAACAATTCTCCATTCTCGTTCATCACCTCACCGAGCGCTTCTCGACCCATGGTTAGTTCTCTTCCTGTGTTGTCACCTCCCAGTTTGGCATTAATGTCACCCCACCCATTATAATTTTGATGTCTCCAACTGACGTCTTGTCCAGTGTTGATTACAGTTGTCTGTAGAATTCCTCCTTTTTCTCTTGCTCTGCATTATTTGTAGGTGCATAGCATTGTATGATTGTGACTTTCCTTCCTTTGAGTTGAACCTTGCTGTCATGATCCTGGAGGAGACTGGTTCCCACTGCATGAAAACCTTCGATGCTGTTGGGGACATCATGATAGCCACTCCATAACTCAGTGTGCTGGTGGTTGTCGTCTGGGTGACAATATTGGAGTAGATTATTGATTCTCCAGTTGACAGTTTGGAAAGTCCACTCCCATTCCATCTGATTTCGCAGATTCCTAACACTTCCATGCCATACCTTCTCATCTCCTTTGCAATCTGGGCAGCCTTGCTAGGTTCAAACAGTGCGGGAATTCCATGTCCCCATGTTTACTTTCACTTTCATCGAGAGAAGACAGATCGGCCAATCGGCTTCGCAAAGGCTTTCACTAACCGGCCTCATTTTGTCTCTCCGATTCCAGAGAGGAATAAGTTTGTCTTTATTTTTATATTTTGTCTGTGCTTTGAAGTTTCTTTAGCGGTTGCATTGGTTTTCCGGGGTAGGGTTGCTAGACGCATGCTCAACCTTCCCTTTTCATACAAGCTTAGGACCGGCTAGTAACTCGTGAGCTAGTTTACCAGGCGAGGTGGTTAGCATATGGAGTCAATAAATTACTATCAGTGAACGTAAGTCTTCACTTTTGTCCACTCTAGTGCAACCTAATCCTATGGTTCAAGGTATTTATGAATGTGTTCATTAGTTGATCTATCAAGAAATCTAATGCATTATTTGACAGCCAGAGTAAGAGAAATCTGCTCAAACGAACCAACCAAGATCCTATCGCCCAATAAATATGCCGAAGGAAGTGGAGATGGACTGGGCATATAGTGAGAAGATCATTCGGGGACATCATGTGCCAGGCCAGGGAGTCAGGTGGAACCCTGATGGGAAGAGACGAGTTGGGCGTCCCAACTGAGGGTGACATGGAGGAGATCATGTGAGAAGGAAATGAAAGGTAGTGGGCAGTCGTGGCAACAGGTTCAAAAGATTTCAGAGAAGAGAGTGCACTGGAGACGTGTTACTGAAGCCCTATGTTCCACTAGGAACCGAAGGGACAAATAATAATAATAATATGCTAACCACTTTGCTACTAGTGATTGACTATTCTTTATTTGAAAATTATATGACAACTATTTAACCCTGATCAAATTTTTGAGATGATTTTGTAGGCCACCGTAGCAACGATAGAAATAACCAATTAAGTTGCTTCATTTCCGTTGGAAAGGCAGATGTTGATAAAATGGAGTAACCTGATTGGTTATTTCACTTGTTGCTAGGGTGGCCTTTAATGTTGCCGTATTAGTGGTTATTAGTCGCTATCCCAAGTCGTAAATACTTTTCTATCGCTTTGTTCTTATTCTTATCTGAATGGTTGACTATGGATTGTGATGGAAACGTGTACACCCACCGGTCTGTACTGTGGTTTTGTGACTTTACACAGTTTCAACGGAAACTTGTCACAGATCAATCATAGTGGGTTATCAACATCAAAGTCGTGGTCAAAACTAGCCAATTCGATCATAGTTCCAATTTAAAAATTTATATCTAAGATTACCCTAATAGCCATTGAAATGACCAATTATCTGTCTGTATTTTAGCTGGAAGGATAGTTTTTCTTGTAGAATAAAAGAACACAACTTAATCGACGATTTTCGAAGTTGTTGCGGTAGGACTTAAAGTCACTCAGTCAAGTTGAACAAAACATAAATTCAATAAAATTCACCCATACATTCAAGTTACCGTTATTCAAGAGGTTAGAAAGGTGATCAGACCAACATGTGGAATAAAATCTTGTACTGTTTACTTAAGCCATATAAGAAGGTGTAAACTGCTTGGACAAAAGTCTATGGGGTATGAAAATTAGTGATTCGAAAATCTTGGTGATATACTTCAATATCGATCACAGTAGCACAGATATATACACTTTTCTTCATCCTCTCTTTTTTTGATACACTTGTATTTACTCTGATATAATCCGTACATCCATTTCCCTTTTGCACGCTGATATGAAATGTGACAAAGTGGATTAATCCACTTCTGTGCAAGTTTTGCACGTTGATGTGCCTGTCAGTCAGTTAATCTGTCCATCTGACACAAATCTACCACCTCTACGATTAAAATGTGCAAGTCATCCGTAGAGATGTAACTAATTGGTTCCATGATTCACCTTATAACTATTAAAGTCATAGATTCAAATTTGCTTAACCTTCTTCAGCCTGAACAATATGTTAAGTATATGTATAAAAGCACAACTTACATTGGATGGTACGAATATGTAAAAGTATTTTGGTGGATTTAATATCCTCAAGGCTGATTGAGTTTCTGTTGAAAGACAATGATCATGGTCCAATATGAATTGTGGTAAATCTTTTTCTTGTTCCAATGTTTTATATACATCTAAATGACATCTTGTTCCTGAGAGTATTGTACCCTCGATACAAACACATTCAGTGACACCTTAATAAGTAAAATATAATGAAATAAACACATGACAGTCAATGAGTAGACACGAAAAATACACAGGGAACTTGCAGACATTCTCACTAATGATCCAAACAATAAATCCACAGATAGAAAAAGTAGCAAATGAAACCAATTACAGTAGAGATAAATTCTGCGAATTGTCATCTTCAGGAAGTAACTCTCTGGTGCTTGAAGTGATGAGTGGTGAGCGAGAGTGTCAGTGAGAACACCATCACTAACTGGAGCACAATCCTATCTAGCTGGTTAGTTTCAAAATGATGTGAAACACATATCCTGGTTTCCATTTTTGTTATTCACTGTCAAGTAAATGGCATCAATTGTTGTTTCTCGATACTTGTAACTTCCCGTTGACATAACAGATCGAATCGCGCCATCTCTGTTGTCGTTTGGGCTCCTACTTAAATGCTCCCATTATTATTATTATTATTATTATTATTATTATTATTTGTCCCTTCGGTTCCTAGTGGAACATAAAACTTCAGTAGCACGTTTCCAGAGCCAGTGAACCTGGCTCCACGACTGCCCACAAGCTCTCATTTCTTCCTCACACGATCTCCTCCATGTCACTCCCTCCTCGGACGCCCAACTTGTCGTTTACCATCAGGGTTCCACTCGACACCCTGGCCTGACACGTGATGTTCACAGTCGGCATTCTCAGTGTATAACCAATCCATCTCCACTTCCTTCTGCATATTTGTCGGGTGATAGCTTCTTGGTTGGTTCGTTCCCAGAGTTCCTTGTTGCTTATTCTTTCTGGCCATCTGATCTCCAGTAGCGAGCGTAAGCAGTTGTTGATGAATGTCTGTAGTTTATTGGAAATGCCTTTCGTGACGCGCCAAGTCTCTAAACTATCAGGTAGAAAGAAGCACCGACTTGACTGATATGAATGTTGAAAATCCGGATATTGTTCAATCTCGTGCTGAATGCAGTGGATCTCCACACTGATTCCAGATTACTGAAAGCTTGTCTTGCTTTTCCGATCCTGCTTTTGACATCCTCGCCTATGCCAAAGCCACTAGTTGAAACGGTGCTGTTTGCCTACGTAGGTGACAGAGACTACTTCCTTTAAGTTTCTACCGTTGATGGTGATTGGAGCTTGTTGTTCATGCTACTGTTGGTTGGGTATCTTCATCACCTCCGTCTTCTCTACGTTCACTTGAAGTCCCGTTTCCGCTGCCCTGCCTCTTCTGTCAACTTGTTAGTTTTTGCCTGAATATCTTCGAGTTTGTGCGACAAGACATTAGACACAAATCATCATCGTTGGTGAGATCCGAAAATTTCCAGGATCTTTTCTCTGGTCTAGCGTATTCCCCTCTTCTCGCTGCTCGCTGCTGGTTTGTTGCATGATCCAGTCAACCACAACCAGGAAGATCATGGGTGATAGTAGGCAGTCTTGTCTTACTCCTTCATGTCTTCACTTCGAAGGTGTTGCTGAGATTTCCATTGTGGATCACATGGCATGTGGTGTCTTCATATAGCCGTTGAATGAGGTTGATAAATGTTTGTGGTACTAAAACCGTAGTGTTGAAGCAACTGCCTGTCAATTCAGGTCTCAGTCGACGCTGTTGAAGGCCTTTTCAAAGTCGATGAAGTTGATGTAGATATCCAGTTGACTGACATTCTATACTCTGTTCTATGATGATGCGTAGTGTAGCGTTGCAATGTGATCCATACATGATTTGTTCTATCTGAAGCCAGTCTGTTGTATACATTGAGTCAGTAACCCATAGGCTGTTGTTTCGAATCTTGCCGCTACCCAGATTTTTATTTCGCCCGCAATCATCACCCAGCGTCAGTAATACAAGTTTGTTGGACCACGGCTATCTCAGATAGTCAAATTGCTAATCAATATGATGCCTACGCTCTCTAATTCAAGATGATTTGGACTGCAATGAGACGTCCTGAATTGGTAATCAGTGTGAATACGATGTACGAATAACAACTCATCACTAATACACATGGGAGCCAGGCAAAATCCTTGGTGATCGATGCGAAATTAGGATCTGGTATGTATCTGGGTGTCCTAGTTCAGTTGCAAAGCCCTGAACCGGAAACCCCAATATCACTGATTACAGTCCTGCCGTGGCCCAGATTTCCGTTCTTCATTCAATTATCAGACAGACATTTGAAGCGTTACTCATACGTGTCTGTATTTTTAGTTTCCAGATTGCCTGATTTTCTCACTATGAATTGTAAACGTTAATCAGTTGTATTTCGTTACTAGAAGTAGGAATATTCTTTGCATCTGCTCAGTCGTCAGCTCAGGTCTTTCTCATCTCCTCCCTTCTAAATGCTATCAGTGTAGACTACCACCGCCAAACTTATGCACAAGCTACTGCTCACATACCTCCCTGCTGAAACTCATTTACAGGTAAGCCGTCAACCTAATAACAGCTGTTGATTCCAGTATACATGATAAACAGATTAATAATCCTACTATTAGCTGGTGTAAGTCAGTCATCGGAAAGCCCTGGACCCAGGTTTCAAACTTGTTGGTACTGATCACCAGAGCGTGTCTGCAGTCATGAGAAGCCTGATGTTCCCTTGGTGATTCGAGCCCGTCTTGCTCATCGCTGAAGTCAGATACTTAACCAGACCTGAATCGCTCAGTGGTGAAGAAAACATAATTATCCTCATGGCTAAAGGTACGGTTTGCGGATGAATGCTAGCAAGCAGGATATCTAGGTCTAGGACTTCCTGTTGACTGAGTATCACCCTCCAACACCAAAATACTGTTAACCATGGTTAGGCATCTCTTAGCTTAACTGTCCACACTGTAAAATGTGATTCGTAAACTTCGATCAGTGCTAAGCATTAAGGACTAGACATCTACTTTATTCATCGACTGGTAACAAATTCAGATAGGTGAGTCATTCTTTTCCAAGGAAATTGATCATTTATATAATTTATTCAGATGATCTCATAAAATTCATCATCAAAATTAGTAAAACAATGAAAAAAAGGAGCTTTTCTTCCTTTAATTTACCTCTTGGAATGTTATGTATACATCTACTGAATGGTTGACACTCCCGTGCAACACAATCTGATTTACAAGAGAAACCATCACCAACAAATCCTGGTCGACAGATGCACATATGACTGAGTAGCTGAGAATAGAAGAAAGGAAACGGAACAATAAACTGTATCCCCTTTCACTCCATAATATCCATGTTAATGTGTATTTCAGAATTATCTTTATAGTTTAAGATATTTTCAGTGTTCATTTTTCAGATCGGTTTAAATTTCAGTATAATCTGTGATATGAATTTATTAGCTGAAAGATACAACTAATTAACCACTAACTCAGGATACAACATTCGCTTTCCTCGAAAATACTCTTGAAATGAAGTAAACGGATTAATAAACTAAGGTTGGAATAAAATTAGAAGGCAATTGCCACTTGAATCTGACACTATAATTCAAAGACTAACGGATTTAATTTGGTAATTAAATCCTCTAAAAGTAATCCTGTTGGAATTCAGTTTTTGCGCTACTCAGAAATATCCATCAGAGCAACAACTTTTTTAGTTTATATAGTTTAAACTGAAGCTAAATAACTCAGCATACATCAGAACTCCGTGATATAATATACAATATAATTAGGTGGTATTCACCAGTTGAAAAATCACTGAAAATCTGGGAGCACTGAACATCTATTTAGTCCTACTGCGAGACTCGTCAGCAGCACGCGCTGACGATATTCTCCAGGGTTCGAACTCAAGACTGTCGGGTCTTGAGGCTAACGCGTTGGCCACTTGGCCAATGTGCTGAAGTTTAGTGGTTCACAGATTCTTACTTCCTTTCTTCTCTGACTATAGTTGAATCCTAGACTCTGTACTATTAGTGTTAATTGTAATGATTAAGAATCTCCTTAAAGTACTAAAGTGAACTAACTTCCTTTTAAACGAAAGTAGAATGCAGGAATAGAGTTCAAGTTGAACAATAAAGCAAGACGGGGAACTGTGCTACTTTCAATATACAGACGCTGTTGAAATACCTTTCATCAACTTATTTCAAATAAATTTTCAAGGGTAGTTTCCTATTGTGAGTCTATATCAATTGAGAAACTTTTGAAAACCAACGAAAAATTGAATAGTTAGTTTTTTTTCTTGTATAGGGCTGATGCATCAGTGTTCACCTTAAATTTCGAAAAAAGGACATTTAGGTACCACGATAATTGATTTTTTATTAAGATAATATACCGGAATATACCTACTGGGTATTTATAAAATCCACTGTTGAGTTTCATCGTAAGCGACCATCATCATATATAACTCGACTTTTAATGAAAACCCTTCTGTAAATTTTCATATAAACAGTTAGACAAGTTCATGTGTGATCAGATTGTTCGGAATGTATGGGGCTAATACATTACGCATGTTTCAGATAATCCTCGTTTTCTCAATACACTGTTTAGATTTATCAGAGGGTCTAACTACTCCAAAGCTGAAAGCTTTTGATAACTATTTTGAGAAGTTTTGCTCAAAGAAGGAGATATAAAGATATAGTTTGAGGTTTATGCGAAGTTTATATATTTATTTCAAGGAAGTAATCATCAAGGACTGATACCGTTTGGAGAACCCTCAAAACTTTGGAGTAGTGAACAGTTGTTCCGTCCGACTATGGGACGCCTCAGTAATACGCACTGTTGACCCCTCTAAATATCAAACTCAGGAAGTTCAGATCATGCAGCGAGCGCACAAACCAATCAACCACTTGGTTCACTGCTCCCTACTTCCATCAGTTCGTGATATATTGCGACTACCCATCAACGAAATTCAGTTGGCATCTGCTTCCCTCCCGACTTGGTGCTTATTAGTGATATATTTCCATATATATGTCCCGAAGTCCTGATGGAAAGCTATGACCTGTGAGGTCAACCAACTGGAAGTGAAGCAGATGCCAAATGAAGACCTTGCTGGATAGTCACGCTATATAGCGAGTCGACACAAGTAGGCAACTGTACAGCATCTAACTGCTACCCAGTGGCTGATGAGCTAACGTGCTTTTTGCGAGACCTGAATATCCTGAGTGTAATCTCAAGTGGGGTTGTGGGTGCATATTACTGAAGCGTCTCATACTAGGACGCAACAGCCTTTCAGTGCTCCCATGTTTTTTAATAGTTCTTCAAATGATGTCAGTCCGTGATGAATACTACCTCCAACTAATATTATTATTTTTCTCCCTCCCGTAAGGCATCATGAAGTTTTTATTGAACCAAAGAAAATAGTTATTAGGTAGAAATATTGCCTGGGTATATTTACTTTCCTTATTAGGACTTCCTTCATTAATACCCCTATTACTGGCTTGTCTAGTTAAGCTCTTTTCTAAGCCTACCTTGAGTGAGACGATATGAAATCCAAGTATATATATTCCAGTGTAATGGTTTCTTGTAAACACTGGTATCTAAACTTCCATCTTGTCTTTGTTTGATTTGGTCTTCACGTATAAAACATTCCTATATTATATCATGAGATAAAGATATAGCGGAGAAAGAACTTTCCTTCCGATAATGTCATTTATTGACCTAATTCAACACTAAAGAAAAGCTGTAAACACTAAAGTTGTTGACCGTCCCAAAAAATGCTGTCTAAATGAGACTGGAATTTGTAAAGGATATCACAGCCCAGATGCTCAAAAATCGCTTCTTAAGATCTTTGAAGAGGATATTTCATATGGCTAGTTGGAGAATCATACTTTTCAGTGCTCAATTAACCCATTAATGCCTAACAGACGGAATGATGCTTCTGGTTATCTCAGTGTCTATCTGTCCATTTACTTTTTCTTGTGGAGCGGTATATATACGTGCCCAGCGTCAAATCTGCAAACGTATTTTGGAACAGTATTTAGCTTGGTTATTCAGAGGAGAAAAAAGCCGTACCAACAATTGTATTCTTGAACACCTTGTCATGTGGAGATATTTGATCTTTCTTAGTGGTTCATTCGAAGGGATTCACAGACTGTGCCTCTACCATTCCAAAAGCCTTCGACTGCGTCATCTATACGCAGTCTAATCGTTGGCGATTCTTAACCTTCAACCTGATCTTTGAGTTAAAAAGCATTACTTGTACTCATTAGGTTTACCTTGGTCAGAATAGTAAGTTACTTTCATCTTCACAAGCAACTTTTTTAATTTTACCCTACAGCAACACAATAATCATATATCCTTATTGGTTAATAATGGACTTTTATTTGTTGCTAATGATCATAAATACAATTGTACAGTTGTAGTAAATGAAATCGTCGTAAAGGAAATTTTCCTCTCCATTAAGTCTTTGTTTTTAAATCATTTTCACGCTGTAAATGAAATATATTTGTAAAATCTGACTGATGTAGAAAAACAGTTCTCTGACATTTTGGAACCTCATGGAAATCGATTTTCTATGTTGTTCGCAAAAGTAATAATTAAAGTAAAACATGATGAAGTCTATTAATTTTTTTTTAAAACAATCTATAATACCTGTTTCTTCTTAAGACTGACACCTAAGTGCTCAGCGCATACAGCCGATGGATCACACAGGTCAGCACATTCATCAGTTAACGGTGTGATTGGTTCACAAGCATACCGTCCATCTCCAAAATATCCTGGTTTACATACGCATTCAGCTTGTTTATTTAATAAACAAAAGGCATTCGATGCACATCCACAAAGTTCTGCACAGTAAAATAATTTTTAGAAAAAATAAACAGAAAGAAGTTAATCTGATTAGTTATTTTTATGTAAAAATGATTTATGAGAAAATGTGCTGATGTTATACACCTAATTTTATATAACTTTTCCTGATGTTTCCTATAACCTTAAAATAGCTTATCATACTGCTTTCACACCGTTACTAGCTTTTGCTTCCCACTGCTCTGAAGGCTGAATTCTTATTGGTTGTTAACTGTGGATTAAATGCTGTCAAGGTCACTTAGAAATGTATAAATTCAGCATCGCTCTCAACTGTTTTGACTGTTGTTGAGACAGTAAAAAGCTCTCATGTGGTATTGTTGTTGTGGTAGTTGACGTACTGATTAGCGTTTAGAATCGAGTCGTTTGCGTGTTAGGTTCGTTTCGCTCCTAGACTGTTAGATCACACTACCAGACATAACAGATAAAAAGTGGTATTGATCACTGAACATACTGAATAAGGATTGATGAAGGCTTTAATTAAACGAATCAAGTCTATCCGTTTCTTTTGATAAGTCTAAACTACTGGCTGCTGAGTGAATGATTTCACTTCTTATCCAACTTACATATGAGTAAAGTTTTCTGTTTTAACCATCTACACATCCTAGGCTTGTTTCAGCTTCGTGAATATTTATCTAGATGATTTCAGTCTGTAGATGCGTCTGTATTCTGAGATAAAGTTACTTACTAATAATTGCACCCTTATTTTATGCAAATTTGATTCTTTTGTTAATTAAATGTTGTACATTGAACGCAAGAATTGTATTTACACACTCCTGCATAGTTAATACACATTAATATTTTGCAAAACTGAGTTATTTACCAGTTGTTTAACTCTGATGTCATCAGGGCTTCTGTTGAATACAAAAATGTTATGAACTAACGAAATATGCTACTTGTATTGATTGGTCACTGGAGTGCAACCAATTTCAGGTTGTCTAGTCCTGAGTGCAGACCGAATCCTACCGATCATATTTGCAATGTGGCAGCCAAGGTAAAAGGCCCAACGTCGCGGTGCACATTGGTAGATGTTAGTTGGTTGGAGGCAATCGTCAGGAAGTCCTGGACCTAGGTTTCGTGCTCTTTGGCACTTCTCATCAAGGCGTATCTGCAACCTCGACGGAATTGATGTCCCACCTGAGATTCGAACCAGCATCACCCAGTGTTGTAGTCAGCGACCTTACCATTGACCTATTCGGGCCATTCAGTGGTAAAGTCACTGACTACAACACTGGATGACGCCGGTTAGAATCTCAGGCGGGACATCAGTTCCATCGAGGTTGCAGATACGCCTTGCTGAGAAGTGCCAAAAAGCACAAAATTTAGGTCAAGCAGGACTTCCTGACGATTGCCTCCAACCAACTAACAAATATGCTACTTAACAATATAAGTAGAGATAAGAACAAGACATATATCAGCGAAGAAATATTTCTTTTCAACGACTTCATTATCAAGCCGTACAGTCGTATTTATACTCGGTAAAGTGACAGATAATTGCACTGAAAAGTTGCTCAGTCTATATGCAAAATATACAATAGGTGTAGGCGGCGGGATTTGTTCAAGTGGAAGTGATAGAAAATGGGTCACTGAATAAGGAACGAATTGATAACAAGTGGTAAAATAAGAGATAAGTATTCTCAAAGAATTGTAAAATGGTGATAATTTAGCTGAAATATGCAAGATAAGTCAATGAATAAGGAATGAATTGATATTAAAAAGTGAAATATGGGTCAAATGTTGTTAATGTAGTGAAAACTGGTGATATTGATGATAATAAAAGAGAAGTATACCAAAGCGAAGTGAAATGAAATGAAATTGACAAAATCAACAAAATGAATTGTTAAGGCTAAGGTAGAGATATCGCGTCACATGCTACTCAAATACATTTTTGTCAGTAGCATGCACCAAAATGTAGAGCATTTCAAAATATCAATTGTTGAAGATCAAAGAAAGTAATGTGTAAGAAAATGGCACTAACTATGCCTAAATTTCTTTGACACTAATAAAGAGTGTTTTGACCGAAACAAGCTCATACGATAACCTCTTGTGTTCTTCAATGTCGTCACATTAAACATCTTTTAGAAGAACTAGGCGAATAGTAATGACGGGCAGTAGCTAGTGGTGGAATCGAATACGCGCGTTTTGTCCTTTCTGGCGACCTGTCAGTTGGACGTACCTACCCGCCGGTAAATTAGGTTGTTACCATTAAGAATGTAACCTTAAGACCGATAGTTTCAAACTGCAGAGAGTTATCCACTGGGTCATTCAGTCACGACAGCCACTCCTTAGGTGACAAGTATCCACTCAGGAACCTATCGCGAAATAGAGACCGTTCAATTCGACCCAGTCAACGACCGCAAATAGTAAGCATTAACATGGAACTATGTGAACATCTACGAGAAGTCTCATAAGGATCAATGATAGCGATGTACCTTGCTTACAATTCACTCACCTCATATGATTATCTAAGTATACATCTACAGTGTTCAGTACACCTTTTGATTTTCTTTGATTATCAGCCTTTTATTAAATATTTACGTGAATAGTGAGAATAGCACTCCCCCCAAGCACTATTATGCAGATCAAATAATGCAACTACCAAAGAAGACAAATCGAATATCATTTACAAAATCAACTGCAATAACTGTTATCAACACTACAACACAACTACTACAAAGCTACCACCCTCTTCGACTTCGTATGCATCAGCACCAACTCGCTATGAAATGTCACACATGACTCATCATTTCATCACTCATTTCAATGCACGTTGATAACAACTATGGGAATGATTTCGATTTTGACAATGTAGAGATTTTGGACGGAGAGGGAAAACACAGAGAATATCAGGGAATTCCTAGAAGCTTGGCATTCAGGTCAGTCAGTCAGTCAGTCAGTCATTCAGTCAGTCAGTCAGTCAGCAATCATTAGATGTGTAGACACAGACCCAATCTATCAACCAATAAGAAAAATGACAACGACAGAAAGGTGATAGGTGAAGCAGAGGAACAGCCAACAGGAAAGTCTATGTAGTCAATGACACAACAACCAGAGGAAACAACCAACCACAGACCAGTTGGTCAGAGCAAGCCACTAAATCACTCATGGAGAGATACTGACAGCTCACTCACTTCATACTGAAGTTAGTGCTGATGATGTCGTTGAGAAAGACGATGAGAGCTCCACGACTAAACAACCCAGCTCAGAGATTACAGTACAAAGCAAGACCATCCACCTGAACTACAAATATTCTCCATTACTCTAAAGTTAGTTTTACTCAGAGTTTGCTATTGTTCATTTGTTTAGTACTATTTTCTGTCTTAATTATTATTCATAGTACCTGGTACAGTTAACCTTTTGACACATTCTATGACGAGGCTTTGAACAAAATGTGTTAGCAGAACTTGTTGAAAGAACCATTGTAGATATCCGACCACCTTTTCAACTTCACTGCCTTGTTAATAATCTTTACTCACCTGCACTCAAGTGCATGTATTCCTATAAAATGTTCGGTATAAATCACTTCAAAAGTAAAATTATCTGATATCTTGTTGATATTCTATGAAGAGAATTTTCTCCTAGTATTGGGACTCCTCAGTAGTATGTATCTATGACCTCACCAGAGTTCAAACCCAGACCATTCAGGTTCCACTACCAGCACGTAACCGTTGAGCCAACGGGTCGGAATCCGATGGTCCATATTTCCTATTGCTGTCAGTTCACCATATAGTGCTACCTCTATCCAATGTCATCGTCAAGTAACTGTCCTCATGTTCTACTTGTTTGACCCTACTGATCATGTAACATGAACCAATGGATTGCGCCTCAGTGGCTCAACGCTACTGTGCTGGCCGGTGAACCTGAAGGTCCTGGGTTAGACCCTTGGCAGGGCCATTGGTGTGCACTGCTAAGAAGTCCCATGCCAGGACGAAGTAACTGTTTAGTGCTCGTAAGTTTCCAGTTTATCTACAACTGACACCAGTCCATGAAGAATATCAACCTGAAAACAATAAACAAATCCCCGCTAACCTCAGAATTGGATTATAATTCAACTAACCATTTCTGTATCGAGAGCTACTTATAAGGATGTATATAAGTAGTACATATACATAACAACATTGAAAGTGATAAGGATCCACTAGTGAGAAATCAGTCAGAGGGAATACTTATCAGACTTTATTTTCAGAGGTTGAATCTTTGAAAATTAGGATCCTCTCTTTGGCATATATCTAGGTGCTGTCTGTTACAAAGGTAATTAAGCGCATGCGTGACAAAGGAATAGTCTTCAAACTACAGTTGAATGAATTTCAAAAATAATGATTCATTGACAAAAGATGCAACCAAGACAACATGAACTATTTATTAAATAAATCAGAAAAATAGTTAAACAATGCTGGTTGGTTGGAGGTAGTTGACAAGAAGCCCTGTTTCACTTAGCTTTCAAGCCTCTTGGCACTCGTCAGTAAGGCATATCTGCAACCTTGAAGGATCTGATGTCCCCTCTGAGATCCAAACTTTCGTCACTCAGTGTTGCAGTGACTGAGCTATTTGGACTGCGATTGACCTTCTGTATGACTGGACAAAGAGCATTAATTTTCTAGTCCTGGGTAACTGGTAGCCAACATTGGTAACTAAGCAATGCTTTGTCAAACAGTGATAAGTCGAAGGTCAAGAGGAAGCCATTTAGCTTTCTCATCTGCTGAGATTCAGTAGCAGATTATTGCTTTAATGCCGGAGGAACTTGTCGCATTTTTGTTTTCTTATACTATTTTCCGATTCAAGTCGAGTAAAACTGAGACCTATTTACAATGAGGCAATAGAAATGACAAACAATCCTTGTCAGCTCACAATGATCATTGCGGTTACTGAAATCCAAGGATCTGGTCTAATCATATGGTAAACAAGTATTTATTAGGCCAAAGACCTTGATTACTGAATGACTTTAAAGGCTACACTGACAACTACTGAAGTGATCAGAAACAGTTTTGTATTTTGTGACCACACGAATTGGCCTGATCACGGGAGAATTTTGGTAGACCTAGAATACGCAGATGACATAGTCCTGTTACGTGAAGACGCTTACAAGTTGCAAAGTTTTCTGGACACATTCAGTGGCAATTTGAGAACGCACGGGATGCGTTTCTCGCTATCCAAATTTTTGCTCTGTGACTGGTCTTTGACGTTACCCCAACTAATAAGACAGAGTAAAGTGGCTGAGCGCATTCAACATTTCGCTTACCTGGGAAGTTGGATCAGCTCTGGTGCGTTGATCAGTGAGTGACGAAATCTCTACACAGATAATAAAGAGCTTGGTCGTCTTTGCCAACTTACGCCATCTGTGGCGCCGCAACCACCACCGTCTCGATATCCGATTGTCTATTGAGAGCCAAGTGTACTGTGCTGTAGTCCACTCTGTTTTACTCTATGGCTGTGAAAAATGACCATTAAATGTAGAAAACATGAGAAGGCTTCAGATGTTTGACCATTGTTGCCTTCGTAGCGTACGTCATTTATCATGGTGTCACTATGTGAGTAACACAGAAGTCAGACGTAGAGTTTTAGAGAGAAGAGGTGAAGCAGTTGACGTGGTTGTGAACCTTCATCAGTTGAGATGGCTGGGACACGTGTAACTTATACCTACTCATTGTCTGCTTTGTTACACAATGTTAGCCGAAGTGGGTTCAGGCTGGAAAAAGGCTCGCGGTGGCCAAAAACAGAACATACTATGAATGCATGAAGTCTTTTACTGTTGGTTTGAGCCATGTAGGACGATGTAGACTAGCAGGTTGGGGTCCTGTTGGATAAGAAAAACCAGTGGTTGGAGACCCTGGATGGTGTGGCTCAGAACCGATGTCAATGGCACCGATGTATACAAACATTGTCCTCATCTTAACCGCTATACTTAATCTCATTATCCTCTCATTCTTTCTCTCCTTATTTTATTACTGTCTACTTCTGCTTCCTTTGACCGATCTTCCATTCCTGCTTCATCTTCGATTTCACTGCCTTTTTACTTGATGTGCTGATATGAGGTGCTGTGACTTGAAGCGTTTTGCGGTAAAATCTCGTTCTATGTTGGTCATGAAGATGATGATGACGATGATTTTGTGAGAAAATCACCTCAGTCTAAATAAAGAAATATGAATGGTTATTTCATTTTTTTGCTAGAGTGACTTTTAAAGTCGCTCAGATTAACTGTTGGTTGTAATCTCAGACTTCGTGTGTTTTCATTGCAAAAAACAGTTTTGCGATTGAAGTCTACTGTTAAAAATGTGTATACTCAGCGTAAAGATGAAAACAGACAAATAAAACATACTCAAAAATACCATACTACTCACTAGCTATTTCATCCACATCTTTTTCAGATATATTTTGACTTGTAGAATAACGTGCTCCAAGAATCGATGTTGTATAATCAATACCTTTAGCTGGATGATAATAGCATAAGTAGAGAAGACCTTCACGTTGGGCAATTGCTTCACGATATAATAACATATCTTTCTCACTTAATATTGTCGATTTTCTATGATTATTGTTATTATTACTACTATGCATTGAAGACGTTAGATAGGTAGTAATCTTCTCCCTATCCAATACAGTCCCCGGTACACTTGAGCATAGACCAGAACTACTAGCCAGATAAAAACCATCCTTTGATGATGGAATACGTAGAATCAATTGTTTATCCTCTCGACAACATTGCATAAAATAGACAACATGATTTTCAACATCTTTATGCCAATGACTACTATTAATGATAATATCACCATCAGATGAGACACTGTTGATACTTTTGAGAATAAAACGTGGAATTTTTAGTGGAATCTCCTTCGAAGCTTCTAGAGAAGAAATTAACAGAATAAAATTTTATTTTAATGAATAAAAAAAGTAAAACTGAAGAAAAATGAATTTGTATGCTACCTTAACAATTATTGAAAACATAACTTTTCAGCCAAGACAGAGGAACCTGATTATTTATCTCAGTAGTTACTAGGGTGGCCTTTAGAGTCACTGGTAAGTCGGCTTAATTGATCAGAAATTAGCTTAGTACTTTAGGGTAGTGATTTTGTACCGACTGAAGAGCTGAAAATAGGAACTGCTGAATTACTCCGCCTATTTAAAGAAACATCATGTTTACAAATTACTCCATAGTATTATTGTACAGCTTAGCTAAACACTTCAGTATTAAGCCCTTTACCTGTTTCAATGGGACTTATAACTCTGAAATAACTGTTTAGTAAAGAATCCCAATAATTGTGATCAACTCTATCTTTTTGTGTATAGAAAACCACCTATTTCATGTCTGCTTGTTATGTCATATTGCCACCAAAAAACTCAGATTTATGTATGCATTATCCGGACCGAAAATAACAAGGAAAATGAGCAGTAACCTGGTCTTCTACTGAACGGATGCTCAACTGAGACAGCAGATGGTGAGTTGAAAAACGGAGTGACTTTAAAGGCCACCCTATTAATGACAGAAATAACCAATTAGGTTTCTTTATTACGGTTGGAAAGGCAGATTTTCATAAAATACAAAAGTTTAATTGGTTATTTCAGTTGTCGCTAAGGTGGTCTCTGAAGTCACACAGGTATTGTGTCTGTGACCAGAATCAGCCAAGTGTTCAGCTAGATTGGTAAACGAAATCGAAAATCACGTGACACATACACATCGAGAAATATCATGAAAATTGAAGAATATACTTGAACTAGGTGGTGATCTACCTACTCCTGTGACCATACCTGACGTATAACTGAAATCTTCTTTCCTAATGAACCACAGCATTATTCTAACATTGAAAAATATCATGTCAGGTTTTTCGTTCTGGAAGATTAGTTGTTTGGGCTTTTGGTGCATTCTATTGATCTTTTAAGTCATGTGATGCTGCCATTTTTAAGGCGACTTTAAAGACCACTCTGAAAACTTCTGAGTATTCGGTATTCCGCCTGGGAAAGTACTTTTCCATAAAATAGAGGAATGCAATTGGCTGTCGCATCAGTTGCTGGGGTAGCCTTCAAAAACACTCCAAATACGAGTGACCTTAAAGGCCACTCTAACAACGGCTGAGGCAACCAATTACCTTACTTTTTTTATGAAAAACTACCGTCTCAGACAAAATATCGAAACATGATTGGTTATTTTAGCAGTAATAACATTATGTTCTGCACCCCAATGACTATTTTGTAAAATAGCATGTATGTTCCCCTCTACCTTCATTTTCATTTCTCAAAAACAACAAAAACTTTTCTGAACCCCAGTTTTGTTTGCCATTGCATATGACCTTGGATGGTTCATTTTGGCGGGTAACAAACCGTTTATTTATAAACAGTGATAATTAAAGTTTAAAAATGTTTGCAGTGATAAATAATCCGAACCAATGATCATTTGGATTACTAGGCAAAACTGTGAAGGTCTGTGCAGAGATGTGTATCATTACCTTACGTCATAATAGGGAGTTAAGTGGGTGGTGACGTCGAACACTTTACATACTTCGGAAGTCAGATCATTCCTGAAGAGTTACCGACCAATGAAATCTCCTTACGGATACAGATGGTTCGATTGACTTTCACCAACTAATGCCATCTGTTGTACCAGTGAGATATTGAATCACCTACTTAGAGTCAAGTGTACTGCTCATATTACTTTCATACCAAATTTCTTTAGTATGTGGTCACTAAAGGTGGAAGACATATCCAGGTTGCAGTGCTCGATCACCGTTTCCGTCCTAGCATTGACCGTAAGCTATGGAACAATAGCGTGACTAACTCAGTAATCAGGCAATAAGGTCTCAAACAAAAAGATTATGAACCTCTATAGACTCTGATGACCAAGACATGTACTACGTAGGTTTAGTCATCGAAAACCCCAACGCACAATGCTAGTCAAAGTAGGTTTAAGCTGGCAACCGGTTAGAGGTGGTCAGAACAAAGCATAGTGTCAGTCTATGAGGTCTCTCAACGTCGATCTGAGCTATGTTGGGAAATACAGACTTACCGGTTGGTATATGTAAGGCAGAGGAAATCGAAGACCAGAGACTCTAGGCGGTATGGGTGAGAATTTGTCTCATTAGCACAGATATATCCACATGTTATCTTCATCCTAGTCTTTGTATAACATCTCGTTTTTTTCTTTTCCTTCTCTTTCTCTCTTCATATGACCTTCTACAACTCTAAACATTTTTTTATACTCTTCTGTCATTCACCTTGGCGACTTTTATCTTAAATTATTGTGGTCTGTGGTAACTTAGAGAGTTACGCCAAGTTCTATGCTGATATCAACTAATTTACTGTTTGTGAACGCCATCTCAGCAGATACACTTGTTAAAATTATACCGAGTCCCACCTACGTTAGCATTGCATTTCAATTGATGTCAATGAGACAAACTTTTAGTTATAACCTCTTTTAAACTGAAGAAGACGATTTTCAAAAAGGTCATATAGGCATATCTGAGCTTATTTTGAATAGTGTTTAAAGTAACCCTACTGCCACCTTCGTATTAGAGACGATACGATCCGTCCCCAACATGTTTTGTAAATAGGTCTGAAGGAAGTAGCCACATCAATCCTGTGACCTGTCTGAGTGATATGTTTCGCGACTGAAGAACTTGGACGTCTGCTACAAACGTTGATGGGTTCAGTTGATTTCATTTGATTCTGAAGCCAATCTAGAATATGTTCCGAGGCCCTTACTTGCATGGATATGTAAGTCTTTTTATGCATGTGTCACCATAGGTACATTTAAATTGGTAGTTGCAGTGAGATATGACATTGTCGTTCACATGCTGTATAGCTGCATAGTAAGTCCTTCTAACAGCAGTTTTAGGTATCTTATTCAGGAGTGCGCTATGAGTGTAACCTTTGTACGAATGACATCTTTTGAGGGGGATAAAATGATGGGCTGACTTTGGCGCTCTGGTTATTTTGTGCTCCCTGATAAATTTTGATGGATAGATGTTTTTCAACAGTATGTCAGCCAATTTTTCTCTTTTGTCTTCCAAAGTATCCTCTGTATGTATTCACTGAATTCTACTGAATAAGCACCTAATTAGCCCTCGCTTGTACTGAAATGGACAAAAGGTATGATAGTTCTAATATTCCCCTATCCATGTAGGTTTTTTGTAGATAGGTCGTTTTATGGATCCATCCTGCCGCTGACTAATTAATAAGTCCAAGAAAGGCAAACGGTCATCGCCCCGTTCTACACATGTCAAGCATATGCTGCTCTGCACTCCATTCAGTCGGTTTGGAAGTGTAGTGGACTGACTTGAGCTATTGCAAATAATTAAGATAACATCGATATACCTTTGATATAAATGAGCTTGGTCGGGTTGGTTCTCGGCTAAGTTTTCCACGGCGATGCCAAAAACCTGACTGAGAAGACTGCCAATTACTTGCTTAAATACTACGAATCGTATACGATTATTTCAAAGCCGCACCACTTAAAAAAGTGGGTAAAAGGATAAATGCCAGTTGATGATGATGACGATGATTGTTTTACTGTAATAGGAAAAATGAGAGCAACAGCCGATCAATTATGAATGCCCTTCACCTGTCTATCTTTGTTCTCATTCACTGGCATTCTGACTGAGTCATCGACACTTTTAAGACCTTCTACATTTTTATACATCTTGTTATAACAACAATAATTGTGTACTGTGTAGACAAATAGTCTAACTCCGTCTTCTCTCTCAGTAGGCCGGTATTACGTTGGTGGTTTTGAGATAAGCGCGTACATAATAACTCGGGGAATAATGTTACTTTGGACTAGCGTTGGAGATTTCCCTCAATCCGTTAATCATAAGGCCCAATAGGAAGCCCAAATTGAAGTTAAGAGGAGAAAAATCAGGAAACCATCATCCCAAATGTATAATGGTGGTGTTATGTTGAGAAGGCTACCGAATGGTAGCCTGCTAGCCACATAATCTGATGGTCCTGCATTCGACTTTGCATGGGATTGCGGGTTCACCAGACTGGGATGGGACAAACCTTTACTACTTCATGAATCCCAATGACACTTTAGCTGATATCAGTATGTAACGAAAACTGCCTTTCAAATAATGCAAAATATTCATACAAAAAAAAGTAAATTAGTCAACACATACGCATTTCAGCTGGACAATTTGTATTCATTGTAAATATGCAATAGTCACCAGCGGGCCAATTTGAATGTCTCTTTGTATGACTGCTCCCTGAGACTGTATGTACACAGAATTCCATGGTAACATATGCAGTAATATTAAAAATAGTTTCTACATTTGTATTTGGATAAGTCATCAATTGTTGTTCAGTTTCACTGCTTGCAAATGTGAATCGTTTACGTTCAAATGTATCTGGGCATTGATATTTCCCACCACCGACAACATTACTAGCATCTTGAAAACTCAGAGAAGATAGGGATAATTCATTTGGGCTTGTTGACGCTGTCACTGTTGTTACCGCTTCTGTGTTTGAAACCACTGTTGTCACATAAGATGTACGTAGACCACTTCGTCTGCCTATCGGGAGCATATATTCACCATCAGGCCATTCGGCTGTATCATTCATCCATGAAATAGGTAGGTAGTGACAGAGAATATCCCACTGAGGTTCATGTTTAGTCTCTGAACCGGATACTAAACGTACTAAATAACGTTCCACCTAGGAATATGTGTGTGTGTATGGAGCAAAGTAGAAGAATGACTTTGGTAGTTGCATAAAACTGAAGAAGTATTAATCATATCTTCCTCGGAGTTATTGACTAAATCCACTTTAGTGAAATGAATGTTTTACGTCTGAGATGAACGGTTTATAGTGTCAAACATATTGAAATGAATGACAAGGAGCTTATCATGCATGTTTTATGCTAATTAAGGTTGATCAACATACTTCATCTTTCTACCAATGGGAAGAACATATTCCCACTGGCTTAGTTTAGCATTAAAATCAGAAACATTGCAGTTAAGCTACATAGATGATAACTTATAATCATCTCAAGCACTTATCATGTTAGTGTTGTATTACCGGGTGCTTCACAAATTCTACTGACTATCAGCTCTCTTCCTGTGCATAGTAAACTAAGATGGTATGTCAATCAACTCAAGGACTACACTGATTTCCTTGGGGAATAGAATTCTATTAGCATTAAACACCAGTTAATCACAGTGGTTACCAAGCCGTGACATCTTGCATGGATTCAATAATTACTTTTTATATTTTATACTTATAGTTCAGACTACTTACAAGTAGTATGAATTAGATATAAATTAGGTGGTCAGTATTTTGTGCATACACTTTTCCCTTCTTTTAGCACTCATCTGATAGATGAGAATATGTGCCTAAAAATACTGAAAAGGATGATTTTTCCAGTGGAATTATTTTATGTCTACACACCAAACTCGGAAAACCTACCAGTTACAGCCTGAATACATTAAATTCTGACAACCGAATGGCTATATTTGAGACTATTGAAATCCTTGTTTTCATCGACATTAGATGTTGTCAGTAAAGCTTGGACTTGACAAACAAGTCCTTTCCGTGGAAGTCTGGTGTATCCATAGTATTGTTGATTACCACAGTGTAGTACTAGTAGCCGTCATATGGTTTACATGATCCTGATGTGTATTAGCAGCCGCTGGACATAAAATTACCCCCGAAGTTATGCGCGTCATGTTTCATTCAGAAGCAGAAGAATAATTCCATGAAAATATAATAAGTCACAATATCAAGACGCTTTCGAAGAGACCATTGCAAGAATACGAAACCCTAGTTCAGATAATTACTAATGTAAATATTTCATTTTAAAAATACATTACTTAATTGTAATGAGATCAATCTTTCTATAGAAATTTACACGAGTGACTCTAAAGGTTAGCTCAGCAGTCGCTAAAATAACCACCTAGATGTTTCTTTCTACTGGAAGGATAAATTTTCCATAAAGAAAGAAACCTTATTAGTAATTACAGTAGTTACTAAACCGACACTTACAATCGCTCACATATCTCAATATTATCAAAGTGAGTTACATTTAAACCATAACCATATGACTTTACCAGGACTCAAAGTTGTAACCTGTTTTCACTAAGCAAACTCGCTGAACAAACATCACCCAAATTCTTTCGATCCCTACTGTTTCTTATTTTTAGTCATGGCTATTTAATGTTCTGTGTGCAATAGTTATGCCTGCCTCTCATATACCAGTTGACCATTCTATCTAGATGGATTATGGGTTGTCAGTAAGGACGTTGATAGAGAATAACAAACTTGTTCAGGATACAACTCTCATAGTACACATTGGTAAACGTAATTCTTTCTACGGACATATCTCACAGTTGCACAACACTGATTGTTGAACAGTGTCACTGATTGAGGTCAAAACAAGGTGCTGATTGGCCAATCACGTTTCTCATCTCTTTTTGTGTAAGCGTTGACCAACTTAGGCTGGTCTAATCTCTTCGCTAATTGTTCTCTCTCAAATATGCCAATATTTAGCCAAAATCACACACTTTATGTTCATGACTAGTTATATTTACAGGTATCCGTAGTTTGTATTGTCTAGTCTGGAAATATTTTCGAGTTGCTCTATATTATTATGGCAATTTGCGATTTAACATAGGTGATAGCGACAGACTACTCGCACTTATTCAGTAGTTTACATTTCGTGAGCAGTATTGTTAAAGTTTTTAAAAATGCTCATTACGTACATGAGTGTTTATTATTGGTAGACATTTTTCACCACCAAATAAAAAGAAATCTTCAATGAATGGCCAGTTCACAGGTTTCGGGTCTTTAATATTATCAGTTCGACAACAGAGTTCCGAGAATGCTCTAGCGTGTCTATGAAGACCTGGAAAGTAAAAATAGGAGAAATAATTATCCGTAAATAACTGCCTTTTAAATAGGTGTGAATTAGTGTCATTAAATTGTAATGTGAAGCTTGTGAATGGCATCATTTCCTTATGAATTGGGGTTATACTTGGCAACTGTTTCGTTATCAAGCTAGCTATCATTCTCAGTAAGTAGTAATTACCGTTGCTGGGTAATGATTGGAGGTGAAATGAAAATCTAGGCAAGATTCGAACAGGAGGATGTCGGTGTTTCCAATGCAGCAACAATACTATTCTCTCAGACCACGGCTATCTCAAAAAAAATTAGACTGATGATAATTACTTTGATTTGTTCGATTAGGTAATAAACAATGATGTCAACGTTTACTTCGACACAGTTCTGCATGTGTCACAATTGTATCCTTTTGAGCATTTCAACTATGAAGTAAAGTTGCCTAACTTGCACATTACAATTAAGCCAGTGGTTCATTATTTATTCGTTAGCATTTCTCAATTCTAACTTGTTACTAAGATTCTTCCAGTTATCATTGAAGTAACCATTCAATAATTTGCTGGCAATAACATTAGCCATATCTACGGAAAAGATTAACCACTTTCGACAACAACATATTAGAAAGGTTTCTAAGCATATAATGAAACCTTTTGTAAGCATTTCACCATTTTGTATCTTGTATAGACGACATTACTTGATATGACTTGGTACAAGAATACTTGTGAAGACTGACAGTCAGGTTCAAAATAAATTATACTGTTTATTAAGTATAAACTGTAAAAAACTAAAAATTCAGCACAAATCAGGTAAACAGTATATGTATTCCGCATTCCAAATGAATAGTCCTTCGGTTTCCATTACTCCCTTTTATGTATTCACTTCTGACGATGTTCATTTCCTTTTCTAGAACCTTTATAGGCTTAATATATACTCCGATTACTTTTACGAGTACTTTAATAGCATTATTTACTACTTACATGTCTTTCTGTAAGTAGTAAACAACACATACCAATAAAATATTATTCATTTTTTCAAAATATTCAAAAAGAAGTAACATTTTGCAGACGTATAAAAGGAAACCACACTGCCGTTTCACTGTCATGTTAAACAGTATCATGAAGAAACTTTTTGAAGGAACAACGTTAGTTAATCAATTTATTATTATTATTTGTCCCTTGAGTTCCCAGTGGAACATACGGTTTCAGTAGCACATCGCCATTTCACTCTCTCCTCTGTAGTCCTTTGAACTTGGCTCCACCACTGCCTATAAACTCTCACTTCTTCCTCACACTATCTCCTCCATGTCACCCTCCCAAACCCAACTTCTCGTTTCCCATTTGGCTTCCACTTGGCAGCCTGACTTAGCCTGGTGCTTCCTGTCCCCAAAACGTCTTCTCAGTAGATGTCCAATCCAATCCATCTCCACTTTCTTCCACTGATTATTTGTTGCGTGATCTCATCTCCATCTTCAGTATCGAGTGAGCATAGGCAGCAGTCACTGATGTTGTGTATGTCTGTAGTTTGTTGAAAATGCTTTTCGTAATGCGCCGCCAAGCATCTCAACCATCACATAGAAGCACTGCCTTACTTGACTGAATTAGTGTTGAAAATCCGGATCTCGTTCACGCTTTATGCTGAGTGCAGTGCAGTGCAGTGCAGTAGATCTCCACACTGATTATTTCAGATTAATGAAGGAGGGCGTGTTTTGCTGTCCTTCTGATCGTGGCTTTGACGTCCTCATCTGTGCCGCCGCCTGTAGTTGGAACGATGTTGCCTTGCCTAGGCAGGTAGGTGAAAGAGGCAACTTCCTTTAGATTTCTCCTGTTGATGGTGGTTGGTGCTTGTTGTTGGTTTGTTGCTGTTGGTTTGATATCTTCATCACCTGTGTCTTCTCTACCTTCACCTCAAGGAAGTCCCTTTTCTTCGCTGCCTCGCCTCCTCTGCAAACTTGTTGCTTTTCGACTGTAGATCTTCGAGCAAGTTAATGAATAACAGGTACTTCCAACTGGTGATCATGTCAAAGTGATTAGTCAGCTCTTAAATGTGTGGGTGTATACTCCGTCTTATGGGTCAGTTATCTGACTGTATTTTTATTTTATGACTTAATGTTGGTGTGGTGAATTGCTTTTCGTTTGTTTGAACATAAATTGACCGATCAAACATAGCATACTGACATATTTTTCGGTTGGCCAATCACTTTGGAGTAAAGTAAAAACGGTAGCTGAAAATTCCTATTTATGATCAACTTAATTCATTCTTTTGAGAAGTTTTACGCATGACAGTGTCCAGTATCAGATAACATCTTATCGTGGTCACTAGAATGGATTTTGAGGATTTGGAAACTGAAGTATGCAGAAAGCCAATTCATATGGATCGAATCCTCGACTAAAATGGCAACAGTCCCAGCAATACTCAAAATCATTTGTGTAAGAACATTGTTTCAAAGAGCCAAAACACACTATCATACATCAGGCTTACAGAGAAAACAAAATTACTAAATGAATATCTTTCAGAAAAACGGTTGTCAATGGAACTTGACCAAAAGACTTATTTGTCGTCAAACAAAAAGTCATTCTTCGAAACCAACAAACGGATTGTTTTGCCTGAAATGAAAAATGTATCTGAGATCGCAAGTGAGTTAGATAGGAAGCCTACAAAATCTTTTCATTCTATGTTATGCAGGCCAGTAGATACAGTGGCAGAGGAAGACAATTTTAGTTATCATTAAAAGAAACTGTGGAAAAGACTGTATCAGGCACAGCGGTTGCCCTCTTCGTGTCCATCTACATGAACACCAACTAGGAATATAGCATCCTAATACACCATAACACATAATAATACACATCGACGATTGTGGACATGAATTCAACTGGGAAAATGTAAATAGCAGTCGTCGATAGAGGAAATTCAAAAAATGTCTCAGAATTTTTAGAAGCCTGGCACTTAGGTCAGTCAAAGATCAACAGACATATTCACACTGACCCAATGCAAGAAGCACCAAGAGCGTTAAGGTCCACATCAGTCAATAGAAATACGCATAAAAACAATCACAAGAGCTTAGCAGAAACCACCAACCACGTGCAAGGTCATCTGAGCAAGTTACTAATCCAGTTGTGAAGAAACTCTTCCTTCTAATGTCTGTGCTAAATAGGTTGTCAGGACAGCATTACGACTGAGCCGTCTTCCTTAATAGATACGGCACCAACAAACTAATCTTCCTGGTTTACAAATATTCTCCATCATCTCAAAATCCAATGAATTCAGGTATTTGCTTACCTAATAGAACTGAAGAGTGGTGGAGAACATTTGTAGTTCAAGTAAATGATCTTGCTTCTATTGCTTTCTCTGAGATGGGTTGTTTAGTCGTGGAGCTCTCATCGTCTTTCTCAACGACATCATCAACACTAACTTCAGTATGAAGTGAGTGAGCTGTCAGTATCTCTCCATGAGTGATTTAGTGGCTTGCTCTGACCAACTGGTCTGTGATTGGTTGTTTCCTTTGATTGTTGTGTCATTGACTACATAGACTTTCCTGTTGGCTGTTACTCTGCTTCACCTATCACCTTTCTGTCGGTTGTCACTTTTCTTATTGGTTGATAGATTGGGTCTGTGTCTACACATCTAATGATTGCTGACTGACTGACTGATTGACTAACTGACTGACTGACTGACCGACTGACTGACCTGAATGCCAAGTTTCTAGGAATTCCCTGATATTCTCTGTGTTTTCCCTCTCCGTCCAAAATCTCTACATTGTCAAAATCGAATTCATTCCCATAGTTGTTATCAACGTACATTGAAATGAGTGATGAAATGATGAGTCATGTGTGATATTTCATAGCGAGTTGGTGCTGATGCATATGAAGTGGTAGCTTTGTAATAGTTGTGTTGTAGTGTTGATAACAGTTATTGCAGTTGATTTTGTAAATGATATTCGATTTGTCTTCTTTGGTAGTTGCATCCTTTGATCTGCATAATAGTGTTGGTTTATAGCTCACAAACCACCAACATCTCCGAGACGGTTATGGTCCACATCAGCAGGACAGCCAATAAATATACGTATGAATACAATGACAAGATTTTAGCAGAAACTACCAATCACATGCAAGGTCATCTGAGCAAGCTACAAAGCAACTTGTGAAGAAAATATTACACCTCACTTCCTTCTAAAGTCTGTGCTGATTATGTTATCTAGAAAGCGTTACGACTAAGCCGTCCACCTCAATGGACAGAACACCACCAAACCCATCCTCCTGATTTATAAATATTCTTCATCATCTCAAAATCCTATGAATTTAGGTATTTACTTGCGCAAGCGAACTGAAGAATATTATCAACTACCATGGGTATAAACACATTCAAATGTAATAAAACGTACTTACCTGGTGGACACTGGTGATTTACAGCTGTAGATATGACACAGTAATCTCCTTTTGGCCATTGAGATTCTAAAAATTTCTTATCTCCTATATTATTAGTTTTTGTTGTTGCTTTTACTGTTGTTATCGTTGATGATGTAACTAATGTCTCACCTTCTTCATCATTTGTTTCTAAAATAATCTCTTCTGATTCATTCATCATTTCATCACTTGTATTTATATGATTTCTTTCACAATAATGAACATTTAATGCACTATAATTATGTCCAATCAATTCTAGAAAATATGGTCCTAAACTCATTGGCATTAATTCTAATTCAAAAAATGCTGCTTGATTATTTATCAATGAATAGTAGTGTTGAGTAAATCCTGGTGGACAAGCTTTATCTAAATCATTTCTATGTACATTTGGTAAAGCATATTGACCTAATGGCCATTCACCTTGAAAATAATAGCCTATTATATATGATGAAAAGAAATTGGAAGGAGAAATAAAAAGAGTGAGAGAGATTGAGATGAATAATAAAAGTTTATTTCATAAAATCTACACTTTTAATCTGGTGGTTTGTCAAGATTTATTAACTGATTTTACTTTGGAATTCATTATGGAGGGACATCATTTAAAGGAACATTAGAAAACTAAGAGCACTGAACAGAGTGAATTAATCTAGCACTCATTGATGAGAGGTGATCTAGAGGTGATTCCAGAAGTTCCAAAGAGAAGTCGTAATCAAGTGGAACATGAGGACAGTTACTCAATGACAACATTCGATAAAAGTCGCGCTTTATTTTATACTGACAGTAGTAGGCAATATGGACCATTTGATTCCCACCCAGTGGCTCAATGATAATGTGCTGAAGGTCCTGAGTCCAGTTCCTGACGGGGTCATAGGTGCGCGTTGCTGAGGAGTCCCATAATAGGTAGAAACATCTCTCCATTGCTTCCCAGATTCCCAATGTTTCTCCAGCTGATATCTACATTTCACTGAATAATTGTGTGGTGAAAATAGCTGTCTGCAAAATGTGAAATGATGCATGAGTCAAGTTCAGTTAACCTTTGAATGGATCTGTGGCTAATCAATCGGTTTAGAGAGATGACTTCCGATAAGTGAGCCAAGAGCTCAGACACCGCTATACCTATCGAGATTTAGACATCCAGGTTGCTCTCAACCAATAAGTGTGGCTCATTGCCTACTGCGAAAATCCCTATGAAGTTTCACATTGCATTTCGATTCGGTAAACTTCTTTGTAATTAATTAATCCTTACAGTTCTTCATTACAGCGCTCATTAAACACTTTTCTTGAAGGGCATTCTCCAAAGTTCTAATAAACATTCGTAACATATGAGGTTAGTCAAGTGGAGAGGATTCCCACTCCTGATAATGAAGGATGATTACACGATGTCACTATATAACAGAAATTGAAAAAAAGTGAACCATTGAATTTAAACCTACCGGTTGAACAAAAAGCGCTCACTCCTAGACATAACAGGCCTAAGTTTGGCATCCTGTCAAGTCATGGGTGTTCACTACTAGGGAATACCAAATTAAGATGAAACAGCTGTCCAGTGCCACTAGGTTTCCAATAGCTTCCCTGGGCATAAAAAATTCAGTCAACTCACTAATCTACACTCAGTCTACTTTCCTCCCTTTTAAAATTATTTCAATAGTATGCGAATCCTAAACTTTTCTTTCTACCTGTCAGTCAATGTTGAATTTCAGTTTTAGGGAATTGTGACTGAATTTGAAAGATAGTATATTACTCAGTAGTCTTCAGATGAGGACAAAGTTATGCTTCCTAGTTGTGATGTCAAGAAGAAGCGACGACGGTTTACTGCCAAGGTCAGTTTATCTCAAACCAACCAGGATTGGAAAGTTCACCAAATTTTAAAGATGGGCACCTTTGTTTGAAAAAAAACTCATTTGTTAATTGTGCTCCAGAATTGATAAAATCCAGTAGATGGTGAAATTAAAACTCGTAAAACAACCTTATTAAATAATAGATATCTCAGGGGTTTCTTTGATAAGGACTTGAAAAACAACAAATACCCATCGCCCGTCCAATCACAATTCCTAAGTTTTAATCATTAATTTAGGATTCAGAGAGAATACGGCAGCCGAAGCACTGGAGAACCATTTGTAGATCTACCAAGAATATTTCCTATTCCCCTAACCTGAGGTTAGTATTCTTCAACTATGTTTTGATTCGACAGTGTTTGAAGGTTAGGTGGCCATCTATGTCCACATCTACGCATATCAGCAAACTGATATACTTCTTTAGAACTGATAATATTGAACTCTGTAAACGGGTCCTCCAGAAAGTGTCGACAAACAATAATCACTATGGTTAGACAAAAGCTATTGAGAAACAACAACTCCATTCATATACCAACACGTAATATAGTTTCCGTCATTCAACTCTTCAAAATTCTTCCTTTAAAGCTACTTACAGTACCAAGTTGACTTACTCCAAAGGTCTATATTGCCCCACTACTGCATAGCCGAAGCACTAGCTATACATGATCGAAAAGCTGATTTATGCTCAGACGAGTTTTGTGAAGACACTTTCTCTACATTTACCATAAGAATGAATTTCTTTGTCAATACTTTCCTGCTACATTTTATATATTTCACTTTTACTGTCAGTGTAATAATCGTTTTTTTGACAGAGACTGACCCCGATTTTACCTAATGAGATCAATTTAACCTTTTACAATAACTTCATTTCCGTTACAGACCTGAGGATACATTTCCGCTCTCCCCTTGTCAGCTAACTTCAATAGTGTTTACGAGTGCGTTGCATAAACTGGTGCGTGGTATGTCCAATGTACTTGGCTTCACACAAGCAGTTAAAGTGATATATACACGCTAATGTAGCCGAATGCTGTAGCTTGTCCTTTGCCTACTGACGAATGAGTTTCTGACAGGAGAATCTGATTCTAGGATAGGCAGCAAAGAATGTTCTGTTTACGGACCTTGATAGTCTCTTTCTAAGTACATCTGCCACATTATCTCCCTTAAATTCTAGGTCTAACAGTAAAATCTTTTCCGAAACAGTATCCACGCGTTCTGCGGCTTTTCTCAGCTCTCTGTTCTTATCTACAAATCCCAGGAGATATCCATTTTCGATCAGGATTTCTCGGAAGTTTTTTTACTTCATCATGGATGGTATTGTTTGTGCATATTCTTCTTATTCTTGATGGGAGTGAATCGATAAGATTCTTCTTTCTGCTTAAGGACAAACAGCTTTTAAATTCATAAACTGCCAGCTCCACTTGGAGTTTCTGCAAATAGATCTTTGGACTGAACTGTCCTATTTTATTTGAGGTTGGACATCAAGAAAGAAGAATTTCGCGTTCGAATCATCTTCTAGGATGAATTCGAATGCGTGCTATCGAAGGTTTGAAGTAGGTTTTTGAGATTCGTACTCTAGAAACAACAAATAAAGGTACCATATGTTTTTTCCGTAGACATGAAGCTTTCAGAATATTCTCGATAAGGTCACTTATTCCAGGCTTAACATAAAGCAGTTAGACAGGAGAGGTCATAGAGTTGACACCATTCCCACGACGTCTCTCTGTCTGCAGATTTCCTTGTTAAATCTGTAGGGTACGTTGAAAGTATATCTGAGAAGGTCTTTTAAATGGTGACTTGGGATACCAATGTTTAATTTATGGGACAAAATGTTGCTACATAAAAAACATATGGTTTTCGTTAGTGGGATATTTGTAAATGGGGACAGGACATCCTCTTTCCTGAAAAATTGACATTTTTGATCGAATCAACAAACCGAAATGTGTAACGCAGGCTATGTTTCAAAATTTAATACTTTACAGCATCCAGTTTCTTGACGAACCTTTTTGGAACCAAATGTTAAGGAGAATAAGTCGCGTCTAATATAGAACGAAAAGAAACGCGCTCTTTGTGAACTTTGGGTAGTTACGTAAGGACCTGATGGACGGAGTCGTTCACAGAGTAGATTGCTAATCAGTACCTCATCTTTCATTTTCTTCAATATCTTGTACAATTGTCGCTCAATTTCAAACAAAGGGTCTTTCTGAAATGTGTCTTTTGAAAATTCGTTTCCGTCAGCTGTGCTATGCGTCAGCTTCTGAAACGCGCTCACAAACACTATCCAACTTGGATGCCAATAAGAAAATCTAGATGCATCCTCAGCACAGAACACTCCATTTCTTTTCAACCCACTAGAACCAGTCCCTCGCACCATTTTAACTCCTGTCAAAAAGACATTGAATGAGAAACTTTCTGTGGTAATTATCTCATATATTACCCAACATTTTATTCAGCTTCATGATAAAGTCAAAAAGCTATCACGGGTGTTAGCTGGTTCGAATCCGGCCGCAGGCCAGATTTTCACCTCATCTTTAATCACCAACCACTACAAATACTAGTCTGCCAAACTGCGGCTATCTCAGATAGTCATATCAGAAGGTCAATAAGACGAAAACTTTCTAAATTGATATGAATTATGTAATCATTTTTCAATTCTAATAATTAGTGATCAGCTCGATTTTGGTTATATTGTGTTCTCTGAGATGGATTGTTTAGTCGTGGAGCTCTCATCGTCTTTCTCAACGACATCATCAACACTAACTTCAGTATGAAGTGAGTGAGCTGTCAGTATCTCTCCATGAGTGATTTAGTGGCTTGCTCTGACCAACTGGTCTGTGATTGGTTGTTTCCTTTGATTGTTGTGTCATTGACTACATAGACTTTCCTGTTGACTGTTCCTCTGCTTCACCTATCACCTTTCTGTCGGTTGTCATTTTTCTTATTGGTTGATAGATTGGGTCTGTGTCTACACATCTAATGATTGCTGACTGACTAACTGACCGACTGACCGACTGACTGACCTGAATGCCAAGATTCTAGGAATTCCCTGATATTCTCTGTGTTTTCCCTCTCCGTCCAAAATCTCTACATTGTCAAAATCGAAATCATTCCCATAGTTGTTATCAACGTGCATTGAAATGAGTGATGAAATGATGAGTCATGTGTGACATTTCATAGCGAGTTGGTGCTGATGCATGCGAAGTCGAAGAGGGTGGTCGCTTTGTAGTAGTTGTGTTGTAGTGTTGATAACAGTTATTGCAGTTGATTTTGTAAATGATATTCGATTTGTCTTCTTTGGTAGTTGCATTCTTTGGTCTGCATAATGGTGTTTGCATGGAATTTGTCGGTTTATGAGATACACCAATTCCAAGTGGTCTGAGTAATCCTGTCGTGATTTGTGATATATTCCCTAATGTATGGTAGGATGATGCATTTATTGATTTCTGTCGATGACTTTGTAGTTGATGATGCACGGGATAGGCATTTTCGTGGGTAGCCGTTCTTCTTTAGAGTAAACACCAAGAAATTTTCTTGGTTCCTTTGTGAAGTTGTTGTGTTGCAGTGTGTTCTCGCTTTTTTGAATACGGCTTGCACGCAACTGATTTTGTGCGTTGTTGGGTTGTCGATGTTGTAGTTGAGGATATGGTCAGTGTGTTTTGGCTTACTGTACACTTGGGTTTCCAGCTTTCCAGCATTTATCCTACTGGCTAAAACATCCAGGAATGGTAGTTGGTTGTTTGACTCTTTCTCGATTGTGAATTTGATGTCATTGAAAACGTTGTTGATCAAACTGAGTTTTTTCTATATCATCTTTTTTTAATGATGACAGAAGTGTCATCCACATAGCGAATACAAATTTTTGGTTTGATCACTGGTAGGATGATGGCTTCCAGTCCCCGCATCACTACTCCTGCAGTTAATCTGGATATCGCTGATCCCATTGGAGTTCTTTTCATCTGTCTATATATCTTGCCGTTGAATTGGAAGTATGTTGTCATTACAAAGGTCGATGATTTCCATCAGACTTGAACATTTGAGTTTTGTGCGCTTTGAAATGTTTGCGTCTTCACTGAGCAGGAGGGACATCGTTTCCTTGGCCAATTCAGGTTCGATGGATGTGTATAGTGCTGTGACATCGAAGGATATCATTAATTCGTCGTTTTCTATATTAATGCTTTTAGTTTTTTCTAAGAACTACGTTGGTGACTTGATGGAATGGCAGCATGACTGAACGAGGTGTTTCAGTTTTCTCGAAACCTCTCTTGATATGTATGTATGTATGTTGGAGTTTCCGGAAGTGAGACTGTTGGTCGTTGAGTGATATCTGGTTTGTGTAGTTTTAGTCTACCATAGAACTGAGGAAGGGCAGGTCCATTCGATTTCATACGCCATTTGTCTTGCTTCGTTATTTCCTCTGCTTTGAAGAGTTTATTCATGGTTTTATTGACAAACCGAATATCATTTACAAAATCAACTGCAATAACTGTTATCAACACTACAACACAACTACTACAAAGCGACCACCCTCTTCGACTTCGCATGCATCAGCACCAACTCGCTATGAAATGTCACACATGACTCATCATTTCATCACTCATTTCAATGCACGTTGATAACAACTATGGGAATGATTTCGATTTTGACAATGTAGAGATTTTGGACGGAGAGGGAAAACACAGAGAATATCAGGGAATTCCTAGAATCTTGGCATTCAGGTCAGTCAGTCGGTCAGTCGGTCAGTTAGTCAGTCAGCAATCATTAGATGTGTAGACACAGACCCAATCTATCAACCAATAAGAAAAATGACAACCGACAGAAAGGTGATAGGTGAAGCAGAGGAACAGTCAACAGGAAAGTCTATGTAGTCAATGACACAACAATCAAAGGAAACAACCAATCACAGACCAGTTGGTCAGAGCAAGCCACTAAATCACTCATGGAGAGATACTGACAGCTCACTCACTTCATACTGAAGTTAGTGTTGATGATGTCGTTGAGAAAGACGATGAGAGCTCCACGACTAAACAACCCAGCTCAGAGATTACAGTACAAAGCAAGACCATCCACCTGAGCTGTTAATATTCTTCATTACCAGTTCAATTTCAAGAAACATTTCTGCTGGATACGAATAGTGCCTAAACTAAGACTTTATTATTATTATTATTACTATTATTATTATGATCATCATCATCATTAGTGATAATAATAACAATAATAAAAATAAACCTTCATTATCATGGTTTTTAATGCGTTTTTGTATCAGTGGATCGTATGTTTAAGATCCATTTATGATGTAGTTTTACTGCGAACTCGACTAATTGAATTACGGTTAGAGGTAATCAAAGTGTGTCATGATTCTGAGTTTTCTAGTTTGGTGGCCACATTTTAAAATGATCGATACAATTCGGTCATCACTTAGAACTAGAGAGCACTAAATTAGTCGCTCTCCAATGACCAATTAGAGTAGTTATTCATAATTAAATATCATTGTAAACAGATTTTGACTTCCATAATTACTTACTTTCTGTCTCCTCACTTTCGGAGGCTGAAGAAGCTGAAAAAAGAAACAGATCAAGAAAATGACAAACACTAAAGTATTCATTAAAAACAGGAAAACAAATTACTAGGATTTCATAAAACTCAGCTATGAGTTGCATCCAGACGACACACTCAGTCAGTCGATGTACAACCACATTACTCATTACCTTATTGATCTATGCAGTTAATCATTTGTGGGATGATAGGACTGTAACTCGTACCTTATATATGCTTGGCGTCAATTCCTACTACATCTAAGTGAGACTAGACTGTACTTACAGTTGACGTTATCGCTACACCAACCATACTAATGTTAAATTGTCAACGGTTTTCTTCCTCAATCCATTTATTTTAATGATAACGACATTAATTGAATGAATTATGGAGCTTGGAGACGACTATCCTGCCGGAAGTTGTTTTTTATCATTGCACACTAAAGATCACCATGAAATGTACACACAGAGAGCACAGCTAAGAAATAATAAATAAAAGATAAGTTAGTCGTTGGCCAATCAAGGTACATTGAAATCAAAAACTAAAATCTCATCATGGAACTATTAATCTTATGCTATACTACTCACTCTATGCTCTCCTGTCCTATACAATACTATACCATGCTAATAATAATAACGATAATGATAGTAATAAAGGTGACAGTGTCGGGAGGGAATTCAAAGCACTAATTGTGATACTATACGAAGAAGGCACCTCAGAAGCGCTACGAAGAATTATCAATAAGGTTGTGTTTAGAATGGCATTTCAACCAAAGAGCTTGCTTAAGAAAGATCCTATTTATCCTATTTGGCAAAATGACTTTGTTTACCAAATTCTTTGCAGTGACTGTTTGGTCAAATACATGGGTCAAAGAAGTCAACCAAGTTCAATTAGAATAACAGCAAAAAAATATAGCTGATTCAAGATTAGTAGATCTTAATAAAATAAGGAACCTGGAGAAAAGGTCGGTTATCGCTATGCATGTGATTGCACACAATTACAGAATAGGGTGTGATGGAACGACAGTATTGAAAACTAACTTAGCTGAGTGGAGGGAGAGGTTGATAGGTGAACCTTCATTTATCAAATCAGCACCAAATATATGCAACAGAAATGATTCTGCACCTGTTCCAGATATCTGAAAACTTCTACTACCCCCATTGCAAAGAAGGAGAATGGGTTAGAAGTCTGTAAACCATATTTCAAAGCTGTGGAGTTGCTTGGTATGAATACAAATGATAAATTATGTCCGAGACGTGATCCAATGAATAATACAGCTTCATTGTATGACATATGTGTTAAACACACCGAAATGGAATTACATTCTACCATAGTGTCCAAGTTTCACTCCCATATGAAATGGTGTTAACCTTTCCCCGATGTTGAAAATCTTCATCTCAGGGAGAAGAAGTAATATCTATATTGTTCCTGGGTGTTTTGTCATGGGGAAGTTTTACAATGTATATTTTCAGGACACTATTACCTTCACTTTGCAGTTTCGGCTGATGATACAAAATATTTGCACGCTGTCCTAAGTCTCTAGGTCTCCACTTTGTAAGGTGAGGTTAGTGTGGCAATGAGATTGAAGATCTCGATTATATTTGGATTTCTAACTTTGGTCTTGGCTTCAGTGTTGTAACTCTACGTTTTTCGCCATTACAGTCAACTTGTTCATACTTTTCAAAAGTTATTCCAGTCGATTATGGTGGTAACTTATTGTGCTGACTTGACGATTCTTCATCCTCGGTCTTTTGATGTAAGCTTTCGGCTATTACTTCTACTGTATCTTATGAGTTGAACGGGTCAGAAGCGAGGATTAAATGTTAAATTTCGGATAACCAAATTCAATTCATAATATTCATTACACTCTGCTTCAATTTTGAATAGCCAGCGGGCTAATAATCTCTATTGTGAATGAAAACGATGAGGATAAACACTTTTGCTAGATTGTTATTCTCATCTCAAAACTATTCTTCTATCGATGACTCTGCAGGTCACCTACTTACAAGAATTTCTTATAAACTTGACACTTTTTTGGTACGGTACTGAACCAAAGAAAAATAATTCTGCATTCCCTGTGTCCATATGATTGGAAGTGCTCTGTAAGCTTGTGAAAATAGCTTGATGGCACAACCTGCAAATACACATGAATTCGACTACATCAAAACAAAATATTACTGGCTAACAGTGGAATTCACAACATGTCTTTCATCCTACTTGGGAGTCGTCAGCTGGACATACCTTCACCCCAGTGAGTAACGATATCCTCACTGATACCCGAACCCGGTACCTATCGTGCCTGTGTGTTCTAGTGGCATTTTAGTTGATGAGTGTGTGATTTAATCCTTAATGTGGACATAACCACTAACTGAGATGCAAGTATGTCAAGCTGACGAGTCCCAATTAATACGAATCCCGCATCCTGGATTCCACCGCTAGCTAACAATAAGCAAGCCAGTGATTATTAAGTCATGGACGGCAAAATATAAATAAGCATCATAAAATAAAATCTCAGTACCACTATAGATATCATTATATAACTTGACATTATCAAAGATGCAAATATACTGTAATTGCAAAATAGAGTGAAGATGGTTAATTACTCCAACTAACCTTTTTCATAGTAACACATATTAATTTCTACATCACAGAAATCATGATACGGCACACGTGCAGGTGTTAATCCTTTGACATTATACGGTGACCATGTATGATTTTGATCAATTGACCACCAGTTTGGATCACCTCTGTTAGGTGCATCTACACAAATATATTCTTCAGTGACATGCATTCCAGCAATCTGTTGACATTTGTCTCCAACCCTATATATATATATATATATATATATATATATATATATATATATATATATAGTTAGTATAATTGAGAAATTTGTTATTAGGTAGGAGAAAATTACATTTAAAAACAATACAAAAATAAATGATTGTTTTTTTATATCATACCGTCATTGATTGGACCGAATTGATCGGTCTCTATTGGCATATGGGATGCTTTGCGGATGCCTCCATATTACCTATGCTCTTATGATAGTAATGATGGGTAGTAACTAGCAGGGGAGTCCAGGATGCGCATTTCGTCCTGTTCGGGACTCGTCAGCTGATAACAGGAAGCAGGTACATCCAGCTGACGAATCCCGAACAGGACGAAATGCGCATCCTGGACTCCACTGCTAGCCACTATCCACCATTACTATCATAAGAGCACAGGTAATGTCGAGGCGTCCGCACAAGATCCCATATGCCAATAGAGACCGATCACTTCGGTCCAATCAACGACGGTATGATATAAAAACAGTCATATACTAAAAACTTTACCCGTCGCACAAGAAATAGCCATCGTAGCCCGGTGGTCTAGTGGATAACGCTGCGGCGTTTGAAGCGATCGCTCCCGAGTCCGAATCCCGGTGGGGGACAACATCACTCACTGGGAAGCATCCTATATACCACTGCTAGACGCTACTCATCATTAGGATACGAAGATAGTTTATTCAGTGTTAAATGTTGGGTTTCAATCGACAGAAATACCTCGACGTATATTTCATCCTACCTGACACATCTGTAATGAGTGTTGACAGATCATTTAAAAATTCAAGAATTCAGAGGTTTAAAGAGTACACAAACCGATTGTTGAATGATATCTGGTAAAAAACATAGTAAGTCTCTGCACATTAAAGCCACGTGAGTACTGCTGAATTCTGAGATTATCAGGGACACAATTTATACTATGGTTTTGAGATTCCTTCTTTAGCCAATGAGTAAATATTGTTACCGCCAACGTGAGCAGTAAAAACGGTGTTAGAATCTTGTATTAGCCTGGTCACTGTATGATTTTTTTTACCAGGTAACAGGAGTAATTTGAAGGAAAGCTGTGAAGTTGACTTTCACACTGGTTAACATTCAGTACCAAAGCATATCTGTAACACTTAGGAACCCCTTATTATCATGACCATTTAACCTTGTGTTTTTTGTTGTTTAATTCAAATAACTCAACAAAATTTCCTCCTCAAAGCTTTTAAATATACTGAAAATTAACATCTGAATACCTTAAAACGAATAACAGTGACAAATTCCATTACAGTGAATCATACTGATAGGAAATACATGACATGGAAACCGTCTATGATGAGGATAACAAGAAATTAACCAGTCTTTTTCTACCAAAACTCATCAGCAACCCAGAGTGTGAACTAATATCCTAAAATGGAAATATCATCAGATATAATAAAAACCTTTTCATCATTAAATTATCCTGTTTGCCACTTAGGTCTGACAAAACAAGTGAAATATGATAACACTACTCACTCAGTGGTTAGTAGTGTACAACATAAATCATAAAAGAGTAAGTGGGAATAAACATATTCATAATAAATAAGGTAAATGACGTTGAAATGATTCAAGAAAACTAGGTAATAATACGACAAAAACAATGGTAAATGTTGTATCGACCTATTATACAATGTTGAAGAACCAAGTCGAATTCGTTGACGTTAGGCTATGTAACGTAACAATCCTCCTTTTTGAAAGTTTTCTGTGCTCAAACCCAAGCAATTTAGTTTCCATTTGGTAGTATTTTGCCTCCCTAGACTGGATTCTTGCAGTTGACATTTATTTGAATTAGGTATCTGATTGGGATACAATATTGCCTACAGTTGTGTTTTCCATGAGCTATTATCATCCTAAATCGTTTATTTGGGTAGCGTATCAAAAGTCTTAAGAGAAATTAGAAAATATTGATCTTGAAGTAGTTGTCAAGTTGAAGTAGACACACCATGGTAGCGCGTAGTTCTATATTCCACTGTTTATTCGATATAGCGAGAGGATACAGGAATACAGTATTATTTTTTTGGATGACGCTTCTAGCCCACATTCATGTAAAAGTAACACAGAACTTTTAAGATTCACTCAAATAGTTCAATTCGGAGGCTGCCTTAGCAATGAATCTAACAGCCAATGAAGTTTCTTTGTTTCAACTGAAATGGTCAAGTTTAATAAACTAAACGAATTTAACCGGTTATTTCACTTGTTGTTAATGGTGGACTCTATTGTTATTATTATTATTACTATTTGTCCCTTGGGTTCTTAATGGAACATACAGTTTCAGTAGCACGTCTCCAATGTGCTCTGTTCTCTGAAATCTTTTGAACCTGACTCTATGACAGCCCAGAAGCTCTCATTTCCTCCTCGCACGATCTCCTCCATGTCACCCTCGGAAGCGGAACTCGTCGCTTCCCATCGGAGTTCCACTAGAGGGCCTGATGCGTGAACTCTAGCGTCACACAAAATCCTTTTTTCTTTTGTTTAAAAGCTTTCGAAAATCTTCAATATATGCTGAATCATTTCTACTGCATATCTTAGGCGTTTAGTCAGTTTTGCGAAACATAGAATGATAGACTTTACTTAGATGGTATGATTCATAATCACAGGAGAGATTTAGATAGAGTGATAGTTCTAAATTTGAATATAACTAGGCACAGGGAGAGACTGTAACTCACTCAAATAGTTTGTGGAGAATGACTGATTTTGAAAGAGTCCTGTCTTGATTGACATTAGCTACAGAATCCCCTTTTTACATACACATTTACACTCCACGACTAATTTTTTCCATTAGAATATCCAACGTTTCATTCACAAACAACATCAACATTCAGGTGTGCAGAAAACCCTCCATCATACTTCATCCCCTTCCTACCTATGTCCAAATAATCATCTAGGTTTCTTCATTTCATGAAATAGTACCATCTCAACCGAAATAAAGAAACCTAATTGATTAGATTCGTGGTTACTAGGGTAGCCTTAAGAGTCATACTGACTCGTAAACACACTATAGGAAGGAGCAGAGTGATACTTCTAAAGTGGAATTCAGCTAGATGGTGCGACAGATTGATTGCGCAATCTTTCTTCATCGAATTAACATCCAGCATATGTAGTGGGAATGATTCATATACACTGAAGATATTTGAAAAATTTTACTACCATTAGAATAAAAGTTTAGAAATGAAGGAATTAGAGGTATCAGCAAACACCAACTGATATCTGTTGCGTGAAAGGTATCTCCCGGACCTGGATAGACTAATAAATAACGTCTTTGCAGTTGTAGCGATGGGAAATAGATCTGAGCCTCAGTGGGAGCACCATCATTCCTTCTAAGGGAGGTATATTCAGTTGACGAGTCCTAAATGGGATGAGATACACACCTTAGATTTCACTTCCAGCCACCAAGTGAACTGTAACATAATGAATATTCAAGCATTATTGAGTCCTCAGCTTAGGAACCCATCTGTCAACAGAGATTGAGTATTTCGACCCAGTATAACTACGGGAGATTACGAGTATCAACAAATAGCAGTGAAGAACTACTGAACTATAAGAAAGAAATCTGAAAGTCTTGTGACTACCTTGATATGAAAACGAGCGTTTATTTCTACTCGAAACGTCATCCAGTAAGTAATATTGTTTTACTATATGTTTGTTGTATAAGATAAACAATCTAATTTGACATTGAAGCAGACAGATTGATCAGATACACATCGTCTATAGATTGATATTTGAAAGCATTATTTAAATGTTTCGGCTTCTGTAATCAACCAGGGTTGATGAAGATAATACGTACTATGCTACTAAATAAATTATATTATGTTGACATACGAACAAAGTTAAGCATATTAACCAGTATGATCGACTACATTGGTTTATAGGTTAGTCAGCGAACTTATCAAAAAGCCTAGAGTTTCTTGATTTGAACACAATTAAGTCAGTTTAAGTGCAGATGCCCGTCACGTGGAGTAAGTCAACTGATTTGAAATTGGAAATCTCTGTTCAGTTGAATATTTAAGCGTAAATATTGAATACACTGTCCCCAACTGACAGCAAAATATAGTACACTTTGAACTTAACTCAAAAGAGATTACAGTATAAGGTATCCGTATGTAAGAAGACCCAAGATTCGCAAAAAAAACTGTTTATTAATCTAAACATTTTAAAGTGTCGTTTTCGCGCTCTGTCTACGGCATGGCCGGTAGTTAATTTCCCCCACCCATACATTTTCAAGGTAATCCGCTCATTGGTTAATGCTTGCTTTTACAATGTTATTGTTGCAAATTCTGGACAAGGTCATATGTCATGTACATAAACACACGTGTTTTGTGTTAATTGACTATTCTTTTTGAAGGTAAGAAACTCTGCATTGAGCTCAGTCTTCTTCCCTATTTCGTCCAAGGTTGGGGTTAGTGGGTCTTGAGTAAGAAGTCAGCTGTCAGTCAAGCGTGCATATTATATCCTCTCTGGAACTTATCACAGTATGAATTGTTTGTTCATTGTTTCACCTGATGCCAATTCGATTCATCATGCGTTATTATTATTATTATTATTACTATTTATCCCTTGAGTTCCCAGTGGAACATACGGTTTCAGTAGCACATCGCCATTTCACTCTCTCCTCTGCAGTCCTTTGAACCTGGCTCCACCACTGCCTACAAACTTTCACTTCTTCCTCACACTATCTCCTCCATGTCACCCTCCCAAACCCGAATCGTCGTTTCCCACGCAAGTTACACTCGTAGGCCTGACCTGGTCTGGTGCTTGCTGTCCCCAAAACGTCTTCTCAGTAGATGTCCAATCCAATCCATCTCCACTTTCTTCCACTGATTATTTGTTGGGTGATCTCATCTCCATCTTCAGTATCGAGTGAGCATAGGCAGCAGCCACTGATGTGATGTATGTCTGTAGTTTGTTGGAGATGCTTTTCGTAACGCGCCGCCAAGCATCTCAACCATCACATAGAAGCACTGCCTTACTTGACTGAATTAGTGTTGAAAATCCGGATCTCGTTCACGCTTTATACTGAGTGCAGTTCAGTGCAGTGCAGTAGATCTCCACACTGATGATTTCAGATTAATGAAGGAGGGCGTGTTTTGCTGTCTTTCTGATCGTGGCTTTGACGTCCTCATCTGTGGCGCCGCCTGTAGTTGGAACGATGTTGCCTTGCCTAGGCAGGTAGGTGAAAGAGGCAACTTCCTTTAGATTTCTCCCATTGATGGTGGTTGGTGCTTGCTGTTGGTTTGGTATCTTCATCACCTGTGTCTTCTCTACGTTCACATGAAGTCTCGTCTTCGCTGCCTCGCCTCCTCTGCCAATTTTGTAGTTCTCGCCCGTAGATCTTCGAGTTTTCGCGAGAAGATATTAGACATAAATTATCGGTGAAATCCAAATCTTCTAGGGTCTTTTCGTCGATCCAGCCAGTGTATGCCCCTCTTCTCGCTCCTTATAGTTTGTTGCATGATCCATTCCGGTCGACCGCAATCAGGAAGATGACTGGTGATAGTAGGCGGCAGCCTTGTCTTACGCCTGTCTTCACTTCAAAGGCATCACTGATCTTTCTACTGTGAATCACTTGGCATGTGGCGTCGTCATATGGCTGTTGAATGAGGGGAAATTTACTTCATCATAGGTCCATTAAATCACATCAAAAGATAATGAGACAATCAGGGTAGATCTTGGGACACCAATTGCCACACTTCATAGTGAAATAAAAACAAAAGGTAGTTGGAAAAGAATGATATTAAATAAAGTGGGCCAAAGTGTACGAGAGTTGACAGAGTAAATAAATGAAGGCAATGAATTCAAAATCTCAAGGATGACTTACCCTATTGCGAACGATTTTGATCCATATCATAATGAGCCTCCGATCAATGATTCCTATATTCTCAAAGAACCCAACCAGACAGTTTACACATTACTACAGACCACAGAATAACAGTCATGTAATACACCAACTGATTCCGTATCTTGGTCTGGTTCGACTTCCGATTACATCGCACCTTCAGGCTGATGTCTTCTAGGCATGAGTAACATATGTCTAAGTCACGTTAGTCAGTGGCGGTTCATCAAGATGATCTCATCACATCCAAGTCATGCTACGAAGGCACTCATGATCAACAATGTGCAGCCATCTCATATCTTCTACTTTCAGTGACCATTTCTTACAGCCTTACGGAAGGACATAGTTAACTGCGGCACAATACGTCCTGCTCAGCCGACAAATGCTACTGTGACTTGGTGTTCAGGCTCGCATATCTCACTGATTCAGCGAGCTAAGCTGTCTGAAACGATTGTTTCTTGAAGTATTACTATGCCCTAAAAGTCTATTGGATAGTAAGGAGACTGAAAGCAGTAAACATTATAAAGTAAATATCTTACACGGCTATGGTAGTGGTTTAAGGGAGAATTCTTACATCTGGCTGCGTGAGATATGATAGAAGTAAGGTGTTTCCCGCGGACAATCGACATTCTGTGTTGACTCTTTCCTCTTCTGTTTGAAGAGGACGTTATCAAGAATAGTAAAGTCTTTCCGGCCCTGAAAATTTCATGTACTGGAGGTATACATTCTAGCAGTCCGGAAGGAGCATATTCAAATTTAAATCCTAAACTCTTAAAAAGCCCATGAGTAATCGACCTCAGGCAGATATCTCATAGGCTGGAAAGTCAGGCAGAAACTAGTCCATTTTCCATTTCAGATACCTTACAGAAATAACTCCCATGGTATGGACAGTAAGGAAGTGCTTACCATCCTCACACTTCTGGTAGTATACAAAATATAATAAAAGCTTTTCATTCTTAATAAATAAGAGTTTGGGAACACCGCTACAAATTCCACGCCATGCTTGACTGTATCTCTGTTCACGAATTATTAGTAATCATCATCAAATACTTAACAGAATGTCAATCGTAAATGACTGATATCACATGAAATCTTTTCTTTATCCGTACGAATATCCTACCATGTATTAACCTTTTCCCTACTTGATATGTACGCTATTGTAGTGGGTGCTACTGATAAGAACAGATATAAGTAGTATATATTGAGAGGTCGAAAGAAGTCATAGTAAATTCCTAGTAGAAGGCAGGAAACAATGCGGCCATATGAAGAGTAAATCGAGATAGGAGAAGAGAAGAAAATGAAATACATTGTACAAATGACTATTTTAACAGAAAGTGTACAATATTTCATCAGTACTGTACAAAATGTCATAATAAACGTCGCTTCCTGTCTTTTATTACTTGTCATTTCTCACAACTGGTGTCGCTGCCTGGATCCCGGACACCAACCAGCCCCGCGACCTACTCGAAATCCCCGGAGAAGACTTTGATTTATCCATCTTTGAAAACTGCAGGCTATAGAATCTTCATCATTTCTGGAAGCAGTGACACCAACTGTAAGAAATGACAAGACTGAGACGCAGGACAGAGTGTTTATTATCACATTTTCTACAGTACTGATGAAATATTGTACACTTTCTGTTAAAATAGTCATTTGTACAATGTATTTCATTTTCTCTTCTTCTCCTATCTGGATTTACTCTTCATTTGACCACATTGTTTCCTGCCTTCCACTGGGCAAAATATTTACCCACCACTGGGAATTTACTATGACTTCTTTCCACCTCTCAGCACATACTACTTATATCTGTTCTTATCGGTAGCATCTACTACACTATAATACTCTTAATATGGAGCAAATAAACCATAAATTAGGGAAATAACATACCTGTACAGATAAAATGGTCCAGTCTCAGCTGGGAAACCTTCAATTGGACTATCAACACTTGGTGAATCAGTTCGACAGCAAAAATGATAGTTTAATCGATCAATTTTGAGATACTCTGTTTCATATGTGCTCTAATACGAATAATATCTGGAATGGAGCCAGTGTGTTGATTTGAATCAGTATTTGAATTCAAATGTGAATCAGCACTGTCCTTTGAATGATCAACTTTTTCTGGACCTTCCAGTATACTTAATACTCCTTCAGTAAAATCTGAATAATGTCAAATGGGAAGAAAAGAACAACAAGGTATTAAAATTACTGTGTATGAATTTCTTTCCAAGAAATTCGGAACCAAAGCGAAAACACGACTTCTCAATAATAAACTAAACGTTCGAATTATGCGTAAAATCAGAAACACATGATTTATCTGATATACGGTTCTATCTTGATAAACATTACTGAGCAATAAAACACAAACCTTGAATCGAGAGGTATCTACGCTACGGGTTTACCGCTATCAAAACTTTACAAAGAGTGCATCAACAGTAAAGACAGAAAGGATGTATCCAAGCAACCAAAAGGGAATATAAAGGAAGCGCATAAGTTCTCGTGATGAGGTAAAGACGCATGATAAACAAATGTTCAAGGTAGAATAGAACACCCGGGAACAACGAACGAGACTGCGACGCCATCATGAACTGTGAAAGATACTAATATCTGCAGATGTTAAGTGGTGAACAAGATACGATTAAACGGAATGAACAGTCATCCATGTAGATGAGGCAACATTATGATGAAACATGAATTATACTACTCAAAAAATACTAAGTAGTATAAAACGTGAGACATAAAAAGGGGGTAAACGAGACCGAGGAAGGAGATAATATTGAGTACATCGAATCAAGTAAATTCACTCAAGCCCCGATAAATAAGAAGCTTCACTCCGTTTCATAAAGTAAGTGATATGAGAAGATTAAAACAGAAGTTACCACTTCACTAAGCATGTGAAGCATGGAATTTTTATTCAGCTGCTACTATCTTTAGTTGCCTGGTTATATTTGAAAATTGTGACATGCTGGAGCTACCACCTGGATGGTTTTGGAATACTGTGACAAGATTTACATTTTAGAATGGAAGAAATGTGGTGCATGATGTGCACAGAATGTTCAAAGTACTGAAAACATGTTCAATCGATTAAGATTAGTCTAAAGAAGATAAGTTCGCTCGCCGACTACTTCTTAGTATGAAGCAATTCATTGTATGAATTGTATTGAGTTATGGATGTGATAATCGATGAGGGCTCAGTAGGAAGTATGGCTAGTGGTTGTTTAAGAATGTAGCCAGTTTCATGATAAATACAGAGTCACGTTGCAACTGATTTTACTTACTATGGGGATATTGTTTAATAATAGTCCTGAATGGATTAACTTGACTGAGAACTCTTTCGTGCATAGATTTACTTCACTGTTACTGGGTTATGTCGGCATAGTCAAGGAATTAAGTACACTAATCTTGTTGAAGTCTTTAGTTGCTTAGATTTTGTATTCATATCCTATTTTGGTATTTTACATCACAATGGGAGGAGAAAGAATGATATTCCCAAGGATTTATGATGCAACCATGTGGTCTCGGTCTCCATCTGCACCTCTAATGTATGGAATGTACAGTGAATAGGTTAATTCATTTTTAAAAATTGGTAATCTTTTAGTAATAAGCCATTTTAAAGAGGCAGTATATGATGAACTGGCTTTGATACTTGACAAATCCCAAATGACCTTATCAACATGATTTAATAAATTAATGCAAGCTGTTACGAATAGAGGGGGAGTGTTTGTAATGCATTCGAAAACTTACTCATTCACCTTTCAGTTTCGATTTCTAGACAGCCTCACCTCTCCGTTATTAAGCTCTACCGTTTGTCACTTATCTTTTATTATTTAGTATGAGTACATCCTGCGGACTTACTGAGTCGTCGGCTCACGTTTTTCTCTCCTACTTTTACCTCCCAGATTCTCGTGGTTACCATCAAACTCATACTGCTCTATGTGCTACCCTGCAACAACTTACCTACAGGATACAAGAAAACGTTTCATCAGCTGGTCGTTACGTGTTCTCCTTCTCCATGAATGTTTCATAAACTACTAAGCAAGTTAACTCGATCACGAAAGAAATCAACAATTGTTCAAGATATATTCATCCTCTAATAAGTAGTGGTTCAAGAGAATCCAATGAATGTTTGGTTACTTAATTAAACATTTCACTTTGCTACCTGATAACTACTTAGCATAAACTCAGAGATTTCAACTGTCTTTGGACATCATCTAATTTTAGCTAGTGTCAAGAAAGGAAACCTTGTTAGAACTATTTAATCTACTATTTATTGATTTTAGTATCCGTGAAATTACTGTTCGGTGCTGTTAGGTGACCTACTTCGGGAAGAGATTTCTTGAATTTCTACTGAGCAGTTGTGATAGGTGAGGCAGATCAAGTCGAACATAAGAACAGGTACTCAAAGACGTCATTGGATGGAGGTTGTGCGTTGTAGTGAAATGCGAACTACCCGATTTTGACCCATCGGTCCATTACTAGCGTACTGGCCAATGAACCTGAAGGTCTTGGGTAGGCACTGCTGAGGAATCTTAAACTCAGACGAAGCAGGTGTTCAATACTCCTAGATTTTCAGTGGTGTTCCAACTGATGTTAGTAAGTGATGAACAACAAAGTAAAATCAATAAAATCCCCGTAAACCTTCAAAATAAGTATTATAATTTTGAAAATATAGAGTATCACTGATTAAAGAGATACTCGTCTCATGAAAATGAATGTTGGAGTGATGTTCAGGGCTTATGATCATTGGTTAATGGATGTAGCTCCCATATCTTAGTGTTCAGTACTCATCGAAGTCTATCGACCAAGTGTTTACAATATATCCACTATACGAAGTGATGTGAGACATTGGATGCAATTGATTTTGGAATAGGTATTCTCTGGGTAATTCCAACACGCGTCAGTAAGTTCTGAAGTCTTCAACTCCATAAACCTACAAGAAAAGCAGTGAATGTTAAGAACCTTCAGTGTTTATTTTACTAACGCCACCAACTATCTGTAGGTTGTTAACTTTGTTTCATCTCCTAACTGATAGCCAGCTTATTCTGACGAAGCATAAGCGCAGCTCATAATATATTTAGGAATTAGTTTTGTTTATTTGCACAGAATGTTTTCGCTCAACTTTTGAATTTAATATGTACACTGATAGTACATACTATCTTCAGCTTATTCATCAGTATTTCGTTCAATTTTTACGTGATCATAATGTCTGCATACGCTGACACCTTTAACTCTCTAGGTAAAAAAGTAATAAATGTATAAATTGAGTTTGCTGTACAGTGATGGAACGTGGAAAATAAAGTCTGCTTCTAGGTGTTCTAAGGTAATAGATAAGAGGACAAAAAATAGAGTACTCAAAACTGTATTTCTTCCGGAGTAAAACTAAGGTTAATCACCACCTCTCTGACAAACGTAGCCACTAAGTCACTAGAAGACCTGCCCATTTGTCAAAAAGCATTTCATATTAATGTGTGGGTGTTTTTTTAGTCCCTTTTAGGTTTGAAATCATGAGTAGCTTTAAGTCCCACCCTAGGAGTAACGGGAATAACCAATTAAACTTCTGTATTTTACGAGAATTTGACTTTCCAGCCAAAATAGAGAAACCCAATTGGTTATTCCAATCATTGATTGGGTGGTCTTTAAAGTTCCCCTGAAATCACAAGATCTAATGTAATTGTAGCCCTTATAATTATGACGATTGTTAATCAGGAGCGACTTTAAAAGACACTTCGTGTCGTCAGAAAAGGCAGATTTTCATAAAATAAAGAAGTTTGATTGGTTATTCCAGTTGTTGCTAGGGTGGCCTTTAAAATCGGGCTTAATCAGTAGCTAGGTACATTTTGATGCAGGGACGGTTTACTGAGCATATTAGTTATGTCATGCATGTGTGTCTTTGCGGACCACCCTAGCAACTGATGAGGTAGACAGTCACATTCCTTTATTTTATAGAAAAGTACTTTTCCAAGCAAAATGTCAAAGCCTGATTGGTCATTTCAGTCGTTGCTAGGGTAGCCTTTACTCAATATCATCCGTCATCTAGCAAGGTAGAACAGTTGCTGTAGTAGCCATAGCGATTATACAAACCTAAATCCGGTTGACGTAGTAACTGCCTTGGGTTAACATTGAATACAACCTGCAGAATAATCAGTGATCAACTATGTAATCCGTACTATGTTACCAAGCTAGAAGAATTTTCATTATGACTTACCTTGATTGATGTTAGGTGTTTATACAAACAGTCAACAAGAAGTTTTGAAGCAATTTAATTATTGTCTTTGTTGACATTCATCAATAAGACTTGTCTTAGGGGGGAATTGATATTTCCTCAGAAATACGACCCCGTACCACTCATTACTTTACTTGGTGACATTACCACAGAAGTGTTTTGGAATGATTTACACATGGAATATTTGAAAATAAAAGCATTTTACCACTGTTTCTTAAATGATAACTAACCTGATGGACAGTTACCATTGACACGTAAAACACAATAATGACCAGCTGGTAAAGATTCTTCAGCTCCATAGTTTCCTGTACGATAGGTGTTATGATCATCAGTGAATACGCAATAATCCAATAAAATGTCTTTTTTACGCTTAAAATAAACTCCATCTAGGTGTATTGGCTATTAAATAACAGAATAAAAACAAGATAACAATCAAAAGAAATAATGGGTTGATTTATGTCAACATTTCACCTTACTTGCTAATTTATACAAATACACTTAAAATCGAGTCTATGAAATGTTTAAAAATACATTTACAACTTATAATCAAAGCTGCTATCAAGATGTAATTATGGATCAAAAACTAAAAGTTGAAAGGAAATCAAAAAAGCTAAATGTGAACAAGGAATATTCTTTTCAATAACTTTTCATCAAGTTCCATAGTTATAAAATCAATTTCGTTAACATATTCATAGAATTTTCAAGGAGTTGTGGGAATTTTGAAATATTTCAAGTTGTTATTCATCGTAGACTGAAATCAATTGGAGGAACAAAGGAAATCTGAGAGCACTGGACAGC